CTCTTCAAGAAATTAAATTCATTCACAACGTTCATTTCTACGTCAGCAAACTATGAAACCACATTTTCGCAATTCACAACATCCTTGAACTTGTACATTCAAAAGAATTCATGGTTACAAATAATTTTTTCCAAAAAAATTTGAAACACTAATTCAAATTTGTTTTTGATATCCGCGAAGGCAACGGCATCGACAGGACGGATGGAGTCTTCATATCGAGGATAGCAGCGGGCAGCGCTGTGGAACGCAATGGACTGCTGAGAGTAGGCGAAGAAATTTTGGCCATCGACGGGCTTTCTTTAAAAGGTGATGACGTCATAAACAATTACGTGATTCTTGTCTGATGACGTAATGATGACGTCACGGGACGATGTCGCGTAAGCCTGCGTTTAAGGAAGTATTTTTACGTGGTGGGTGTCTTATGACGTAAAGATGACATCATAACGCGTTGTCGGGGAAACCTGATGTCGTGTGGAATGTTGTTGCCATGGATACGTAATGACATGACGTCATGATGGGACAGTGATGTGGAAAAATAATGCTGTCGTAGAATTTTTTATTAACTTTAATTTTACGCAAAAAATTTGTAATTCAGTAAAATTTTCCTTCAAATCATTTAAAATTCTTTAAAAAAAACCAGAATTTTTTAAGAGAAAAAAATTTGTTTGTTTGGCAGGCGTCTGTTTGGACGACGTGGTCATCTTGATGTCTATTCCGAGCAAGCTGCTTCTAACGGTTCGAACGACGAGCAGCTGTTGCAAGAACATCTCATGTCCAAGCTTGCCTCTCACGCCGACAACCAGCGCAGCTACCGCAGTGGCTCCATCCTCACAGCAATCTCAGGTTCACATCTGTAGAATTGTAAATTGAATCAATTAAATGGTTTCAAAGGAAAAGATTTGATTTTAATTTTTTGTAAAATTTTAAAAATTTATTTGTTAGTTTTGAACGTTTAACGAGAAATTGATATACTGGAATATTTTAAAAGGTATTCGTAAATAGGAAATTACAACGCCAACAAGCATCAGTATTCGATCAATCTCACATCATCCAACAACAGCAATTACAGCAGCAACAAAAACAACAATTACAACAACACTATCTCAAATTACAACAACCTTCATTGTTAGCAAAAGACAAATATTCCAAGACACCCTACTCTCCATACGATCAAAAAATTCCAAAATCTTACTACCAAACTTCCTACCAACAACAACAACAACCACAATTTGACTTTGACAACTACCTCTTTCAACAACAGCAGCAGCAGTTACAACAACAACAACAACAACTTCAACAAAAATTTGACACCGTTTTCGGTTATCGTGATTTTCAACCACCTCGCCAACAATATCAATACTGGAGAGATGATAAATCAGCCAAGAAATCCGAAAGAAGACACCAAGCGGAAAGTTTGGATCGAAAATTTAATGGAAATGGTAATGGCAAAAAGATGAGGACTCTGGATTACTTTTCTGACAGCGAAACGCAATTGGGTAATCAGTACTTGAAACCACTCCTTGCCGATTCAGGTTCAATACGATTTTTTGTTATCTCTTCGTTAAAATTAAATTTTCTTTTTACAAGAACATAATTTTTGAAAACGTTTTAAACGGCATACAAACACCGTTAACAATTTTTTTGTTGCTAAGAACACAACAGCCAATGAAAAAATTTTTTAAATTGTTATAAAAAAATCAATCATATTATACACCACAACACACCATTTTTTATTGCGGTATTTAAAATGTACCATTGAAACCATCAGTTGCGAGACCAGGCAGTAGACTGGTCGGAGGCGTCTACAGAACCGCCAGTGATGAGACGGATGATTTATCGGGCGTTCGAGAACTTTCGAGGACTCTCTCAAAACGTCGGAAAGAGGCCAAACTGCAAATGATGGAAAGATGGAAAGTGGAACAAGAGCAGATAGAGTTAGAAAGAAAGATTGAAGAACAAGAGAGACAGCTTTATCTTTTGCAAAAACAATTAGAAAGAGAACTGCACAGAGGAGATGAGCAGAATATCGACGCGACCTCAAAACTCGGTCGGTACAAACCGATTCTAAGACAATGTTACAGTGACGATTATAGTAGACCGACTCCAGGTAAATACCGATATTTTTACCCACCTCTACAAAAGGAAGATTTCGATTTGGAAAGTAAGATGCGTGAATTTGAACTCGCGAAACAAAGGAAAGCAAAATCCCACGACCGCCATTTAGCTACTGACAAACAAATATTTTCTCAGCCAACCACACACAGACGTCGATACAGCTCCGATTCAGAAATCTTGCACACCGGAAATGAGGTAGTAGTGACGTCATCGCCATCTATTACGGCGGCTGCTAATGGAATTCCACTGCTGATGTTGACAAACGAAAATAAGAGCAATTCACTTCCGGCTGATATTGAAAATGGCGGCTCGGTCAGTAATGGTGACGATCCAACTCAACTGAAGCACTGGCTGCGAAAGTTGGATAGGCTGTCGTACGATTTGAAAGACTTTAACGGCAGGAGCAAGAATGGAATAAACAACAGTCAGAAACGAAAAGGTACGTCTCTCTGGTTTCATTTTAATATATTATTTAGTTTAAACCTTAGAACTTGTCAACTTTTACATAACAGTTACATTATTTTAATGCAAACTGTTGATCAATTTTATAAATAGTTGACTGTTCCAAATAAGTACAAAAGTCTGCTCAAACATTCAATACATGAGGGAATTTGTTAATTTTATTAATTGTTAATAAGATTCAATTAAATTTTATTGGTGACCGATCAAAGCCTCTCATTTGTAATTAATTCAAATAATTACGTCACTATATTTTTCATTCACGCCAGATTCAAATGGAGCAAAACTACATCCAGACATTCGCATAAGCCAGGCAAATGACGACTTCTTAGACTTAACTCAGCAACAGCAGCAGAAACTACAAATTAAACAGCAATACAAACCACCGCCAACAGCATCAAAACCCTACGACCAGCAAAAATCAAAAAAATCGAAACATTTAGAGACTGATAAAGATATAGAGACTCAACAAATGTCATTCACTTCGGAGGAATATAAATCCTGGTTATCAGACCGACGGATGCAGTCTAAAATTCAACGCGACCAAATGTCTAGCTCGCGTCTAGTATCTCACCACAGACCGATTTCTAGTAGAGACAGAGCCAAAATTGCGCTCTCGGAATCGAGGCAGAAGTTAGCACATGCTCACTTTGGACACGCTTCTTTGAAATTGGAGTTTGTGATCATTTTTTTTTATAATTTTTATTAAAAAATATATTTTAACTACTGTCAGTTTGTATAATCTCATTTAATCAGTCGTTTTGAAAAAATGTTCGTAACTGTAAAATGGTGCTTAGCCACCGAGATTTGAACATTTATACATTATTTCTAAAAAATTGTACTTCAAGCGAATAAATTAAAATTTTGGTGTAAACACTTCTTCCTAACTGTAAAAATTTTAAAATCATAATAAGCAGTAGAAAATCTTCCAACTTTAAAATTTTAATAGGCAACAACGACTTCGCAAACAGCAGCAGCAGCAACAGCTGCGACAACAGCAGTTGCTTCAAGCAACGCCACACCAACAAATTGCTCAATCGACTGAATCGCTCAAAAAACGATTTCTTACATCCTCTGCCTGCCAAACAACACCGTCTATAGACCCTGGTACCGTGATTGCTCATCATTATTCACTGGCTTCTATTTTAATTAATATTCAGTTATTGTTGCTATTGTTTTTAGTTATATTAAACATATAATATAAATGTTTCATATGTTAAGCGTGTGAAACATACACAAATATATATTTTTTAAAAGAGAAAAGAAAAGCGTTCAGTTTAGATCAAGATCCAACGGAGGCATTCGATAAAACTCAACCGATTTCTAAACACATCCCTACTACAAAAAATGTATCCACTTCTTCCGACTACCGCTACCGAGACTATGACGACCCGAAGCAAACCTATGACGAATACGATGACGTCGACAACAACAATGATCGACATCATCATCAGCAGCATTCTTTCCACCGGCGTCAGCAGTCTCTCCCCGACAGAAACGAGTTGGAAAGTAGCAGAACAGGCATGCAGGACGAGCGAATCGATCCCGAGCACGTTGAAGTTGCTCACCATAAGAAACACTCCCACAATCGTTACGACGGGAAAGGTGGAACAGCTACTGCGGACATTGTCGACGGTAAATCTTCCAAGCAGTTGAAATCGGAAAGAAGTTCTAGAAAGCAAAAGAATGATTTCGGTAGCCAAGGAGAGAAACTGAAAGAAGAACCGCTGAAGATACGAGTGGAAGATTTTCATCCTCATCTGACTTTTACAGCTGAGGAAATAGTAAAAAAATCAGGACACAAACCTCATTTTGACGACGACGACGATGACGAAATGCAAAGATCTACCGACGATCAATTAGCATCTGCCTCAACCGCTCAAGAAATCTCCCACACAACGTCTTCGTCGCGAAGAAAAAATGGAAAAAACGAACGTTTGAACGGAAGCATGTACGTGCGTATATTTTGTGGACATGGATTGAAGTCGTCGCGCAGGACAATACTACGTGATCTTTATTGCGTCATCAGCGTCGATGGCGTCAACAAAGCTCGAACTGCTGCCAAAACAGGAGCGCTGAATTTTGACTGGGATGAAGATTTTGAATTAGATTTGAAGTCAGCAAAAGTGATCGGGTTTTCAATCTACAGCTGGGACCCAGTAGCTAGACAAAAGTTGTGCTTCTCTGCTCAATTAATCATCTTTGATTTCCTGACGACTCATGGCAACCAGCGCAGACTGGCGATGAAACTCCAGCCAATCGGAACGTTGTACGTCGAAGTTCGCTATCGAGATCTGGAGGAAAGATTTTCTAGAGTAGCCTCTCTGTCAGAAACCGCCACTTTTCGAGTACCACTGGACGTTTTGATTGCTAGAGAAAGTGCTCTGAAAAGCAGCATCAGCAGTAAGGCAGACTACAAATTAGGGATGTACCAGATCGGAGGGAGCAGCAAGGTTCCGTGGATAGTTCGAGCTTGCGTTCGACAGGTCGAGTTACGAGGTATCGATTGCGTCGGTATTTACCGACTGTGTGGCTCATACGAGAAGTTGATGAGGCTAAAGAAAGAACTGGATGCCTGCGTTTTGCTGGAGTTCAATGAAGATCTCATATCAGTTGATAACATTCCGGATATCAATGTCATTACCGGTGAGGTTTGATTTTTTTTAATATTTGTTTTTTGTTACATTTTAATGACTCATGCTTTAATGTTGAATTAAAAATTTTATTCTTATTTTCTGAAAAATTAATTTTTAAGATAACATGTTTACAAGTTGGTAACTTTTTAAGCATCTCTTAAATTTGTAATAATTTTTTCTTCGTTAATTTACCTATTAATTCCACAACAAAGTGACATCATTTACATAAAACAAACTAAAATTTACCGAAAGATTTAATAAAAAAATTTCAAAACTGAACAAATTGAATGCAGGTTTATTGAAGCAATTCTTCTTGGATCTGCCTGAACCTCTATTCACCGGAGAACTGCAAGACATGTTCATTGACGCCATCAACGTTCAAATTGATTCAGATCCTGATGGCAATGCAAACCTCATGCTTAGCATTTTAGACTGCTTACCTAAAAACAATTTGGTTAGTTAGCTGGTTGGTCAGTTAGTTGGTTGGTTTGTTTGTTGGCCAGTTGGCTGGCTGATTAGTTGGCTGGGTGGTTGGTTGGTTGTCCTATTTGAATTTTTGAAATGCTCAACCAGTTTATTAACTTTAATTCATATTTAACCTTAATTTAAATTAAAAATTACTCTAAAATTAGTTTAATTATTTAGTCAATTAGAATGTTTCATAATTTTCAACTCTCACACGCCAACAAGGTTGTACTCAGTTTTTTGATGGATCATTTGAAGCGAATAGTGCAACACGAACAATTCAACAAAATGGACAGCCTGGCCATAGGGGACATATTCGGTCCCCTCCTCCTGTGTCCCTCTCTTGCCGAGGTCCCAGACGTGGCAGCGCCCTCGTCTCGCCAGCAAATTAAAAAATCTTTCCGGTTAAGAGAAGCGGTGGACCTAGCTAAGCAATCCCGCGTTATCACGTACCTGTTGGATATCTGGCCAGCTGACTGAGATGCACTGAATGAATTAATTTCATATTAAAATAGATTAAATAAATAAATAAAAATAAATAAAACTAAAAAAAGAGCTACATAGTGTCAAGTGGCATGCTGGCGCATACGTCTCACAAGACGGTGAAAAAACTAATTGAGAGAATTAATGAGTGAATGAATAAATCGAAATAAAAAATGATGAATTGATGAATGAATTGATGAAAAGATACTAACAGACGGATAAATTGTGTAATTAGAGGATAGATATCCCCAATAAAAATTTTATCTTTTAAATTATAAAATTTTAATATTGCAATAACGATGAAGCATCTTTTTCTTCTAAACTGTAATTACGTGAGGCTTGATTAAAAAATTACACTAAAAATGAAAATTTAAAAAAAAAATTGTAAATTTATGTAAATTTTTAAAAATTCTCAGAAATTTTTAAATCAAAGCTATCATACCTGGTACTATTAGGTAAAACGCATATTCGTACCCTGTACGAAATACCCGCTAGAATTCAAATTTTGACGTCATTTTGACCGCATAGATTTTTTAGTCAATGTTCCCATTTTTGTAGACATTCTTTGTGACTTTTGAGCGATAGAATAACCGTGTATATTTGTAGATTTACATATATATTTTCCGAAATTGCAGAAAGATACATTTCTGTGAATTTTTGTATAAATTTAATTTTAAACTCGATCGTAGATTAATGTTTCTTAATTTCCTTGTTAATTTAATTGTCGAACACACGCAATTGAAAAAACTGGCGCGTAGTAATGCGTTTTGGTTAACAAAAAAACTTTTTTTGGCAAATTTCTGACGAAGATTGATAAGTTAATTAAAAAAATTTAATGATTTAATAATAAATTCCATTCAAAAATAACGTCTATTAATAAAAAAGACGCTATTTTTTAGTGACAAGTTTATATATGTATGTATATATATATATATATATATATATATATATATAAATATATATATATATATATATTTGCCATTCAATCCTTCTCTCTTACCTAGTATCTAACGATAATTTTTATTTATTTCATTTTAATATTTTCCATTAAAAAAACGTAAAAAGTTAATTGATTTAAATATTTGCCATAAATATTAAATCATCATTGTATGATGTAATTCTGATGAAGGCCTGTAAGAGCCATTTTGAAATCCAGGCCAGATAACTAAGGAGGCCCATGCCAAATAACCCCTGACCTCCCTAGAACCCTGTCCTCTTTTCCAGGGCCTGATTGTTATAACAGATACTATCAGGGCCTGATTATCGTTATAATAGATACTATCCTTTTTTAGATACTATGTGTATATGCATGTAATGAAAAAAGAAGACATTTAAATTTATCGCTTGAGTCTCTTTTAACTTGATGCAAATGATGGTGGAATGGGTTTTTTCTTATGTTATAATTATATTATTTATTTATTTATTATTGTTGTTATTTATTATTATTATTGTTTATTATTACTATTGTTATGATGATGAAAATGATGACGACGACAATAATGGAGATATTTAACATATATACTACGGTATATAACTTTATTTGGTCTTATAATAATTAATACATATATGTATGTATGTATGTGTGTGTGTGTGTGTGTGTGTGTGTGTGTGTGTGTGTGTGTGTGTGTGTGTTTGTTTAGTGCGTGTGTGTGTGTGAATGTGTGTGTGTGACTGTGTTGTTCAGGGTGTGTGGTGTGTCTGGCGTGCAGTATTAAAGCTCAAAATAGGTAATTAACACTGTAATTTTAACGTATGTATGCCTCAATATTCATTCAATAATACTACGTACATAATATATATTATACGTATATAATATATATACGTATATATTGCAATAATAATGTGACGTATTTAGTATTAATGAATATTTTATCTTATTTTAAGATCACTATAATGTTAGAAAAATGCTTTAATAGTGAAAATAAGTTTTGTATATTTTGGGTTTTGCTCTACATGAATAATATAGTATTCAATTTTAAAAAGAATTTAGCTCATTCATTTGTCATTTTTTAATTCATTCATTTATGCATTCATTCAGTCAAGTGTTTTTTCATCCATTCAGTCCTCAATTCCTTCACACATTCATTCATCGATCCGTTCATACATCAAACCACTCGATCATTCATTCACTCGATTTATTTATTAATTCATTCATTCATTTTATCTTCTATTTTCTCAATCACGGCTTTTATATAAAACTATGAAAAGATTATTTTTAACGAGAAGCTTTGAAGCTTTAGAAGGCGAAAGATTTTTTTCTTAAATCAACAACTCAAATAACAACTCAAATAAACCTTTACTCAATTATTTAATTAATTATATATACAGTAGAGATGAGCATGGGAACGGGAATCGCGAGAATCCCATGGTTCCCATGGGATTTCCGTAGCGTTAGTATATCTACTTTTTTTACTGTTATAATTTATTATTAATATTACAGTTGCTGTTGTAGTTGATTACGATGTAATAGTATTGGATCAATCAATGGATGAATAGATTTTTTAATAATAATATAATATTCAGGTTTTTAGATCGTTATAAACACACACAAAAGCAAACACACGCGCGCGCGCACTCACACGCACAAACACGTACGCACACACACACATAATATTTATATAATATATATATATAAGATATATATGATATATTAGTATTTCAATGGCATGTAGTGAATTGTTATTTAATTTTTTTTATTTTGTGGCGTTTTTAAGACCTTAGGATGTCATTTTCAATCATTCATTCATTCGTTCATTCATTCATTACATCTTCTTACATCGTCATAACTTGATAACCTCCACTATGGCAGTGGTTGAGTCTTTTATTATATTATATTATATATTATCGAAAGAGATTGAAGCGGTTAGCGTGTTCAAATATATTAATATTAATTCGTTTGATTGTATCCATTGGGTTATTATTTTGCATTTCGCTATGATTGTTATTGTCATTATTATATAATTATTACTATAATATAATTGTATGGTATAAATATTATATATATAATATATAAATATACAATGTAATACCTAAATAAGGCCCAATATATGTCGAAGTACTTAATTAACGATTTTATATTTTTATAACAAATAATAATGATTATAATGTGAACTCTTTTATTTTCCAAAGACAGAGCATAAGTAAAATCAAAATATTGACAATGAAATAAAATTGAATATAATTAAATATACAGTTAGATGAATAAAATAAAATAAAGATAAAGTGTTAGAGTAATACGGATAGTCATCATTGCTCGTCATCTTATGAAAATAAGTAAGTACCATGATGATAAATAGTATAAAAAACTTCACTCATTGTTTCTATCACAGTACAGAGCATATGATGACGAAATTACACTGTTAATCAAGCTAAATCTAAAATAATCGGTCCAAGTTATATCAATTAAAGACATATTAAAAGGATTGTAAAAGCCAATTGGCGATATTTCAAAGGTATTAATTAAAATATTGCAATGCTTAAAGTCATCAATAATATTATCTTTCAAATTACCAATATATTTATTCATTTTAAATTGTTTTGATTTTATGAAGTTAGTTTCATGGCAGACAGTCAGTTCAAGTATTTCGATCGTGTCTTTGTTGCGGACAGCAATGTCTGGACGGCGTGATCTGAACAAGTCTGTTATTGGTCGTATCTTTTCCCCTTTCAAATCCGCAAAAATAATGATAATAATGATAATAACAATAACAACATTAACAATAATTATCATTATTATTATTATTATTACGATTTTTATTATTATTTAAACGTAATTCGTATATTTTTGGGTTTTTTATGACGAACAAAATACTTTTTTCTAGTTTAGAGAATAATAATAATTAATTATCACCTCGTTTATGACCTGCTAGATGACGTTTTTCTGTCTTTATTATCATTATTATTATTATTTTATTATTATTATTGTTATTTTTATTTTGAAAAAGATTTTCTTAATAATGATATTAGCTATGACTATTTTTCTAATCATTTCAGATGGTCTTATAGAAATAATAATATTAATTATTATTATTATTATCATCATCATTCTTATCGTGATGATGATGACGACGACGATGATGATGGTGGTTACTATTCTTATTATTACTTATAATGGTATCATTTATTGTTATAGAGATGAAGACGATGATGACAAAGACGACGACTGCGATATTGATGATGATGATTATTATTAATTATTATTATTATTCCTTATTATTATTATTATTATTCATTATTATTATTATTAACTATAACCTGCAGTTTTAACGTGCATTTTTGTGTTGACATTAGATAGTAGGAAATTCGTCTTCATATATATATATATATATATATATATATATATATATATATATATATATATATATCTATAATTGAATCAGTATTTTAAAATGTACAATACTTAATTTAATATAATTTAATAAAATTGTACAACCAAAGAATTGTGTGTACGTGTTTTTGTGTGTGTGCGTGTGTGTGGCGTGCGTGATAGAGATAGACAAAATAAAGAGTCAAAAGAGAGAGAGAAAAAAAAGAGAGAGAAAGAGAAAGAGAGAGAGAGAGAGAGAGAAAATGAAAGAAAAGAAGAGCGCGAAAGAGAGAAAGATATAAAAATGAAGATGATGTTGACATAACAGAGATGTGTTACTCGCTTTTCTGATGAAGTTTATATTTACATCTAATCAACAAAATAAGAAACTTAATATGTCTGTAAACACACAAACACACGCACACTCACTCACTCATACACACACACACATACACACACGCACGTGCATACACGCAGATACATCTATACCCAAAGTTATAAAATAACTTGCGTATACTCTCACATTTAAATGCTGATACATTAAAGTGATAACTTCAAAATGAAGTTGTCTGTTGAAATTAAATGTCCCAGAATCTAATAATGCTAACAACATCCAAATCAATAACACACAAAATATGGTATATAAAAAATATACATGTGTGTATGTACGGGTATTGGATAGTATAAAACACAAATTAGCAATATATCTCATTAAAGAGAACAAATATATAATGGTTTTATGTGTATTTGTATGGAAAGCGAGAATCTTGTGCATGCATGTACGTACAATGTACATAAGCTATATAGGAAGAGCCAGGAATTCTAAACAGTGCATCTAAGTTGAGGATGGTTTGGTAAGTTCTAGATGAATGGATGTTGGTTTATTTGTTATCTACATTAATGTTGTTGTTGTCTGCGTCATTTTGGTTGTTTATTACATTAATGATTTGTTGATTTTAATGATTTTATTATTGTTATAAATGTCAGTGAAGATGGTTTCGCCGTTGCGTAAGTGATGTTACAGTCAGTAGGTATTGATGTCACTCTTTATGTTAATGTAATTGACGTTACAAGTTTTTGGCTGTTGAATGTGTTGCTGCTACATAAATTTTTCTGATTTTTCTGAAAAACAACAGAAAATTACATTAACATAAGTAAAGCAAAGTCGTAGGATAACAACAGCAAGACTACATTTTAAAGTTGTCATCAACGGAAGCGGCAGTAACGACAACAACTACACTAACTACCACAACTACAGTAACAATTCAACAGCTACAACATCAATGACATCAACTACAGCAACAGCAGCAATTATAACATCTCATTAACGACTTCTTTAGCTACTAACTACTTCAACCGCACTAGAAAGACAAACTTCTTATCATGGAATACTAAAATATTTCTCATCATTTCGGTCAATAAATTTTAACATAGAGGATGAAAAATTTAAAAAATAGAAGTCTGTGAAATTGTAAAGACTGTAAATTATAAACTGTAAAACTTTCCAAGGAGCCGCTTTCTTAAGTATGGGTAACAGGATTATACAGCCATCGTCTCTCGCTTTTATTGTGGCTCTCCTGCTGACGCAATATGACTCCACACGTACGTATTTCTCTTCTCCAATCTCATTAATTTTTATTTATTGATTTTGTAAACATCGTCTCTAATTTAATTATTTAATTGACGGCTTATTGAAAATCGTAAATTTATAAAATCTATCACAAAAAAAAACATTAACTCAAACATCAACATTGACGCTAACAATAACATTAACGCTAACAATAACATTAACTCTAATAATAACATTAACATTGAGAAAAATTCATCCATAGAGATAAAATAATTTATAAAAATATTATTAAAAAATTGATGGACATGCCAAGCCATGTTTAGTGGAGCAATAATGAAACAAATAAAAGTCGAATCACGTTCCGCAAATCTCTCGTTCCTCCAAACATAATCAAATAAAAAAACGTGTACATACCTTTGTGTACGTACACTTGTATATCTCCTTTGTATAATGGTTTGTACGCCTGTGTATTTGTTTTCATGTTTCTAATTATTAATTGTGATTCAGTAAGTGTTTGGTTTTGTGTGTGTGGAGGGGGGGGGTGTTTGTTCGTATATCTGAAAGTTTGTGTTTAAATGTATGTTTGAATAGTATTGATATATGTATGTAAGTTATCGTATATGTTTGTATGTTTTTCTGGTGTGTGTTTGTATGTTTTGGTATGCGTCTGTATGCTTGTATGTTTTTGTATGTGTTTTGCATGTGTTTGTTTTTGCACGCGCCTCTTTTATCCTCAAGTTTTTAACATCCTCCGAGCAAATTGAGATAAGAAACGTCCTCCTGTCATATCAATTTCCATTCATTCATTTCATGGAGTCTTCATCAAAATTTTCCTTCCACAAAAATGAATAAAACAATAATTTTTTCACTGATTCAAACACGTACAACAATAACAACAACAACAACAAATAGATGAATAAAAACAGGTGCTAACAAAGAATAAATTAATTGAACGTAAAAATTATCATTATTAAAAAAATTGTATAAAAAGCGAAAAAACAAACAAACGAACAAACGAACTAACAAATGAACAAACAAACCAAAGTACAAACAAGCGAATGAACAAACAAACGAACGAACAAACAGAAGAATCTCCACGTTTGGTCGACTTGCTCTTATCTTCTAGATTCACTCACGCTATACATCCTCGCGCCAAAATTGTTAACCGAAAGTTCAAAGATCACGTGATGTGTGCGCTTGTGTGATGTCATCCAGAGATAAGATGGCTGCGTTTGTTCGTTTTTCCTCAAAAATATTTGCTTTTCAGTTTATCCTGAATGTACAATTTATCCTGATTGTACGATTTATAGTTGCTTATCGTCGAATAAATATTTTTCGCCTTTCCTAAAACGTCATTACACTATTAAATTTAACGTTTTAGATTTCAATTCATCACCAAAAACGACAGAAACAAAGAGAGAAGCGACGACATCAGCCACACCACCAACAAAATCGTCATCAGCAGCAGCAATCGCAGCAGCAGTTTTCTCATTCGCAGAGAACAAACGCGGCATGTTTAGTTTCAACAAGGGATGCCAACGCATTAAAGAGTTAACAATGAATCGAAAGTGTTTGAAGCGATGCTCCGCCGACAAGGACTGCAGGGGACGTACAAGACGCTGCGTTTGCGACGGCGCTTGTGGCTGGAGTTGTATCAAGATGTGTTCGTTTCAAGTTTTTTTTCCGTTTGAAGCTTTCGTGGTAGAATTTTTTAAGATTTTTGTATGTGTGTAATTGTGCATGTATGTGTGTGTGTATGTATGTATGTACGTACGTATGTATGTAATGTACGTATGTAAGCATGTATGTATGTATGTTAGTACATGTATATTCTGTATCATCACGACTAGCTCAGAGATGCGAGACTGTAAAGCTGCTACTGAATGGAAAGTTCCAGATTGTTCCATTCAGCCGGTTCGCCGCCATCGTCAAATACATCTGCTATCCAGGTCAGACCGCAAATTATTTATTATTATTATTATTATTTATAATAATAATTATTATTATTTTTACTAACATTTAACGAGTGATAGTTTGCATGCAAACATTTGAAATGACGGAAATAAAGTTTCATACAACTGAAGACGAGGCATCTTTGCATTTGAACCACCTCACTACAACTTCGTCTTTAGCGATGCATACATAATACACGTATACATTTACATTTATAAAATGTATGTATGTGTGTATATATAATATATACATATATATAAATATAGGGTTTGAACTAGTGGGCCAGAAGGAACGGGTCTGCCAGGGAGATGGGTACTGGAGCGGTAGGGCGCCAATTTGTAGGCCCCTCGTATCAAACGTTCAAAATATGGCTGCATATGAAGGTAAACATTCATTCATGACGTCATAGTGCGCGTCAGCGTTGTTTAAAATTGTTGTTTATGGTGCATTTTTAATTAAATACGCACGAAATACCCACACAGAAGGAACGTGTTCGAAACCACCGGCCATAAAACACGCCACTCACGACGCAAGCCCCGCCCTAAAATCATTCCCTCTCGGTACCCAGTTGACCTACAGCTGCCTCAATGGTTTCAAGTCAGAAGGGGGGTACAGGGCCCTCTGCGTAGGGCAGGGGCGGTGGGTGGGCCTTTCCATGACATGCCAACGTGAGTCGAAGATGCCAGTACTAGTTGTTGGTAGTTAGGCATAATTTCAAAATTTAAATTATTATTATTAAAATTGCAATCATCATCATTATTATTATAATCAGCACCGCCACAATCATCATCGTCATCTTCATCATCACCACCAGCCAAGCAGTGCGGTCATCCAGGCGACCCTGCGAATTCGATACGAGACGGAAATATCTTCACTTACCCGCACAAAGTTTCGTACACCTGCCTGGAGGGCTACACCAGGATCGGCCGCTACCAGATTCTCTGCCAGGCAGACGGCAGATGGTCCAATGTACCTCCGATCTGCAAACGTATGTGGTGAGACTGTCTCGTTTCGTTATATATTTTAACGAAACGAAACGATTTCGTCTAGTTTCGTTATATATTTTCAACGAAACGAAACAAGATTAATTTTATTTTTAAGAATTTTTTTTGTAGGTGACAAACACGTTAGGAAAGGAAAAAACGAAAAGTTTTATGAAACAAAATTTTATTTAAATTTTGAGAGAAAATTCTTACCTTACAATTTTATGATGTTAATTTAAGGGCTGGTGATGATGTAATGCAAAACGTTATTACCTTCAATTACAAACGCTGAATAATGTGATTATGAATGATAAAGTTATAGAAAAAAGATGGTTTTGATTAAATCTCATTAAATCGTAAGATATTTAAAATTAAAAATTGAAAAAAAAATTAATTTTCTTACTATTGCAGCAAAAACATGCAGAGAACTTAGCCCGCCAACGAATGGCTTGATAACAGGCATGGATTTCACGTACGGAGCAACTATAAGGTACATCTACAACTCAATATTTCCTAAAAATTTAACTTTATCAAAATGTTTTAAAAGTCTCCTCCGTCTCCTTAATGTAAATAAAATTTTAAAATGTTTTTTTTATAGATACAATTGTTTGAAGGGGTTTGTTATAAGGGGTCCATCCGTAAGAAAGTGTCAGTCAAGTGGGTACTGGAGCGACGAAACCCCAGAGTGTGTGCGTTAGTGCTTCAAAATTCTTTCCGTTTCACTCAATTGTTTTAGATTAATTTCAATTATTCTAAATTAATTTACGTTTCCTGTTTTTTTTTTGAATTCTAGTCTCAACACCACAGTCAAATCAAAATTTTTATTTATTAAAAATAACGAAACACATGAATTGAATGTAACAACAAAACAGTTGTAAATTGTGGCAGTCCGGGCCCAATATACAACGGCTACTACATCTCCCGTCCCGACACCAGTTACGGAGCTAATGTTACTTTTTTGTTAGTCCTACCTACACCATTTGTTATGTTACCAATGTTATTACTGTTTTTTTCACGCATTTTCGTCTCTCTTGCTCATTATCTCTCTCTCTCTCTCTCTCTCTCTCTCTCTCTCTCTCTCTCTCTCTCTCTCGTTTTCTCGTTTATTCCATTTTTTTCTTTCTCTGTTTCTTTCTCTCTCTCTCTCTCTCTCTCTCTCTCTCTCTTTCTCTCTCTCTCTCTTCCCGCTCTTTCATCGCTCACTCTTTCTCTTTTTCCAACAATTTAAGAAGCTGTTAAGTTTTGAAACAATAACACACCTTAATTTATCGAAGCTGTTACAACCACACGAACTTCGATGGAGCCTCAAACGTCGCCACATGTCTGGGCAATGGAAGTTGGTCGCACCCGGCTCCCAATTGCTGGGGTAGGTCGCATTCGGTCTGATGTCAGTTAATTAATTTCAAGTTAATTGATTAATTGTCAATTATCTCGCACTATGTTAATTAATTTTAAAATAAGATTTTAAAATTATTCGTGAAGAACTTTCATGTTAATAACAATTCTTGTTTAAATATTTCCTGGTTAATCGGTTAGTTAAAAAATTATTTTTTTCAAACTGGAGCGCTGCTGGTTCTCATCATTAGAAACTCATCTCAAATTGATCAAATGTATATTTCAAATTTTTTCAGTAAGTTACTAGTTCATTTTCGTCATTTCACACTCGACAGTGAAATGTTTCATCCCACAAATTGAGAACGGAACGCTGGACAACGCCACGAAGCATCTGCATTACATGAAGCACGGACAATCATTCAACTTCACGTGTCAGTCAGGATTCCTCAACGAGTTCCCATCCGATCCACCAACCTGCAAAAATGGGACTTGGAGTCGGAAAACTTTTTGCAAGCCTGGTATGCACACGTGTGTGTGTGAGTGTGTGTGCGTGTTTGTGTGTGTGTTGTTAGCGAGATATTTATTTAATTTATTTATACATATACATTATTAATAATAGCAATAAAAATAATTAACAAAAAAAAATTGTAACAAAATAAACTAAGCGCCGTGCAACGGAAGACCTCCGGAGTTGAAAAATGGTTTAGTGCGTTACCACTCATTTGAGCACGGTAGCAAGGCCCAGTGCATATGCAACCTCGGATTCAAAATCATCGGCGAACCATTCCTCACGTGTCACTACGGCAAATGGGTGGGTAGAATGCCAAAGTGCGATGAAGGTATGACAACGTGAGAAAATAATACATAATCCATTATCAACAAATCAGCGTATTGTGCAAGATTAACGCTACGAAGCATTGAATAACATTGATTAACATTGATTAACATTGATTAACGTTACGAAACATTGAATGACATTGATTAACCTTGATTAACATTGATTGACATTAATTAACATAACGAAACATTGAATAACAATGATTTAACTTCCAAATATACAAAACTTTATAACACATTCCTAAAAAATTCACAGTCTTTTGCAAATTCCCTGGCAACGTAAGCAACGGGCAGTTGTTGTTGGTCGGAGACATAGGAAAGTACGACTACCCACCTTACGCCACAAAAGTGAAACACAACCAGCAAATTGAATACCAGTGTGATAAGGGCTACGGCCAGGTGGGGAACAAAGCGGCAACCTGTGTGGACGGCCAGTGGAGTCCTCCCATGAGACCAAAGTGCGAGTTGAGAAAACATCCACCTCTACCCACAACTAGCAAGAAATTCTATTGAAAGACATTTACAGAATTGTGATTTGTACTTGTTGAACATTTTGAAAAATTCATTTCACTTGTATATATTATTATTTGATGTGCATTTTCTTCGTATATGTAGATGTACATTTTATTTTAGATATACAATTTCGCATTAGAGTTTATTTATTAGTGTAGTAAAACATAACTAGAGTTTAGTCATATTCATTTTGGTAGATATATACCTATATTCGAGACTTGAGAACAATTTTTAACTGTTCTTTTGTAAGGTAATCAGCATATTCGATACTTATCAAACATTTTTTCCCAAATATTTTGTGCAAATTTAAATAAATATTCAAACAAATAAATGAATAAATCAACAAACAAACAAATAATGTCACAAAATAGCCGCCAAGAATGCAACCAAGAAAAAGATAGAGAAATTCATTTTTAAGAAAACATGCAAGCGAAGAAGAAGCACCCTATTTGAACGGCATTTAGTGAGAAGCCCCCTCGTCACGTTAAGGCAGTCCTTCATGAAAGGGATAATAATAAAAGATCCTCATCAGAATGCTTAGCGTTGTATGCACCTCAAATTGCTTAGTTATATAACTAATCCTATCTACCTACTTATTAAATTATCTAACTTATGATATCTTAGAGTGTATATGAGTCGTGTATATGTTAGCGCGTTACAGATTTTAGGCCCCTTCCAATCAAACATACCCTGTTCACAAGGTAGGAGTTTAGAACGCAGATAGGCAGGTAGGACGCACCTTTCACCGAACCTACTACGCTGTCCGATCATCCATTTTTTAACGCAAATTCTCCCAAACATAGGTTACATTAGCATTTGTACATACGCATGTATGTAGGTTATATTTATGACATACACAAACATACAAACAACGGTTCAACACACAAACATACAAATACATACATAAATGCATACATACATACAAGTTATAATTCACTCGCAAAAAAATTTGCACGTCGTTTTTATAGCCAGTTGTGTTTCGAAATAAGTTGACGTAAGTTTTATAGGCATGTCTAGTTAAATATGTTACAAGTGATAACGAAATGGATGACCTAAGCTTTCTAAGTGATGACACTATGGGTCACTATCAACCCATGTTATGTAATGGTGTCATTAGTGATTTGGGTTAAATGAGTCTCAAAATTGAAAAATTTAAAGCTCTTAAAGACGTTTTAAGTTAGATAACATTACATTTGTTGAAAAACTTCAATATTCTACATACTTGTTCTCCAGCATAATACTTTCAATGCTACCACAGGACTAATATCCAAATATAGTTTCTTTGTATAGAAAATTTTTGTGTTCCTATTATCGTTACTTAGTTTGTCATCGTTTTGTTTCAAGAATAAAAATGGTAATTAATATTTAATAAATTATTTAATTTTAGTAACGCACGTTTTTTATTTTAAATAAAAATTTTTATTTCAACAGAATTCATCTCATTTTTTAAGACCGAAACCGAATGGAACCGTTCTAAGCAATCCTGATGAAGAAGTTGTAAAAATTTCAAAAAATTTTATGCTTCATGGGTGTGTACATGAATTTATTTTATATCAATCAATATTCAGTATTTTATATCTTTTTTATTATAGATTCAAGCATTAAGTGTTTATTTCATTGTTATTTAAAATTTAAATTAAATTTCTCACACCTGTTAGTTAGTCTTTGTGTTGGTTGAAGTTACTTGTACAAATTTCTAATTTTCATAATCCTCCTTCATAATTAATTATTTTTGAATTTAGAGCTACTCAGAAGAAAGATGAATTAGCTAGTGGCCATCCTTTGGAATACTCTGAGAGACATGTAAATTTATTTTATTATATTTTATCATTTACTATTACAGATTGGGATTATAACTTTTAAATGTTATAGACTATAGAGATTAAAATTATAATTAATTTATATGTACAATTTTTCATTTGTTCAGTATAGAGCCAATTTGGAACTCCAGGATTTTGCAATGCTACGGGCTCATCATGGGCTCCATGCACCATTAAGATTGCAAGTGGAGAGAAAAATCGCTAGCAGGGTAACTATAACATTGGCTTGGTTGTAGCCCCTCTAAAAATTTTTTGGAATGCTCTTATAAACAAAAATTTTTCTCTTTTTAATATAGAATAATAATAATTTAATAGTTTAATTTAACTGCTACCTAATTTCCTTGCTATGCCTTTAACTTTAGCACTACCTTAAATTTTTGTTTTCTATTAAGTTATATTTTAAATATTTTAAAAATGTAAATTACTAATTTTTTAATATTTTGTTGTTTTAATTAAATTAATTGTGATCAAGGTTGGAAGACTGAACTGCTTGCCATCATCAAACATCATGTTGGACACGCTGACTGGTAGATCAGACATCATGGACTTTCAAGATGTTCTTGGTGGTCAGTATAAATACACTCTAAAAGTTGACAAGGCTTTATTTTTTGGACTCATCTTACTTATTTATACCTCTTAAATATGATTGATTTCAATACTCACAGATCCTTTCCACAGTGAGAGAGCTGGGCATCCTCATATCCTTATGGAAAAGCAGCTTGGCATTTTGTGAACTTTTATAACTAACTCTCATTAGAAATAACTTCTAGATGGATGACAATTTTTCATTTAATTTTTTCTTCTCTTTGTTGTTTTTTTTGCGTTAGTTAAAAGTTCAAATCATTTGTTTGTTTCTTCCGTCAGAGTGTTAAATGTAAATTCGCCGAATAGAGTTCTGTGTGTTCATTGGTTTTGTAATCAACCATTGGTAATTTATAGCATTGTCGAGTGTTCAACATCTATCTAATCTTCGATGCTATATAAATTATTTCTTAATTTAATTTCTGACTCACCGTAATTTTGCGGTTTAATTCAATAAGCGTCTTCGGATTTGTAATTTTTTTAAATTTCGGAATGGCCGAGGAAAACGTTTTTTTGTTTGTTCCAAATATAATTGGTTATTACTCTATGTCTATGATGTGGGATGCTGTCAGTTTATTTGATCATTTCATCACCTCATCATAGAAAATGATCACCATGGTCACATTTTTGGTCATTTCATTATTTTTATAATTTATGACCAATTAGTTAATTTAATTAATAACAATGAGACGAGATCAGTGACTTTTTAATCAGAGATCAGTGACTTTAATTTTTAAAAAATAAACAATATTAATATTTTATTCCTTTTAGTTTAAGTTTTACTCAGTAATAAAAATAAATTGTTTCAATTATTAAGTCATTTTATTTCACTATTGATATTAAAATTTAATATAATACTAATTAATGACTAAACTAATATAATACCAATGATTAACATTTTTACCAGGCTATTTAAGAATATTGCTACTGCTAATTTCCATGTATGTCATGCCAACAAACCACATAGTTGCTGCTTGGTGCTACATTATAAGTGGACTGTTGGACTCTCTGGATGGTCATGCTGCCAGATTACTTAATCAAAGTATGTATTGTATTGTGTTGTATTTTAATAATCATATCTTATATAAACGTGTGTTGTGTTGTTGTTATCTTATATAAATATATGTGTGTGTGTATGTATATTGTAGATGGATATACATAACCTAGACAAGATAGTATAATGGTTAAGATGTCTGGCTCGGCTGTTGTAGTGACCGGATTTGAATACATTAAGAGAAAATTTAAAAAATTTTTCCTACCACCCTAATAAAATGAGCTTCCTAATTTCAATTTTATTAACCTCATATTAGGCACAAAATTTGGAGCATTCCTGGATATGTTGACTGATAGGTGTGCAACAATGTGCTTGCTTGTTGTCCTGGGGACATTTTACCCTAAGTGGATGTTTGTCTTTCAATTAGTGATGGTTGTAGATATAGCAAGTCATTGGATTCATTGTCAGAGGTAACTTAACTAGGCAGAGAAATTTTGTTTTATCAGTATAATTAACAGTTTGATCATTTTTTGTATAGTAGTCTAGTCAGTGTTGTCAATTTGGAATGGTATTATTGAATCTTTTCAATTAATTCCCCATTTATAATTTATTCAGTTCAATTTGAATTTAAACTTTTTTTTTTCAAAAACTTATTTAACTCTTAAATAAATTTATCTTTCCATCAAATTCATCTCTAGTGCTCTGATGAAAGGGTCAGACAGCCATAAGAAAATTGACCTATCTGGCAATTCAATCTTGAGATATTACTACACAAACAGGGTGAGATCTAGAACCATGGTTATGATAAATGGTAGTGATGATAGATAATTATAATTAGAAATGATGATGACGAAGATGTGTAGGTAAATGTGTTTGTGCATAAAATACATAAATTATGTTAAATTATGTTAAATATGTTTATGTATGCATACATTTCTACTTTGCAGACAGTATTGTTTCTTATGTGTACTGGCAATGAAGCATTTTATGCCATGCTCTATCTACTAAATTTTACATACGGGCCTATCAGTTAGTTATATTCTTGTTCCTCTGTTATTTATTTATTTGATTTCACTTTAATTAATTAGTTAATTAATTTATTTATTTATTACGTTGAATATATTCGATGGAATTGATTTATTTATGATAATACTCACGAAAAATTCACATTTCAGATAATTTTTTTTTTTTTTCAAATTTTTTATTTTCAGTTCCTCTTGGGCCTCTGTCATTTGGCATCTTTAAGTTCTTGTGCATACTGACAGCTCCAGTTGCCGTCGTGAAGAGTTTCATAAATTTAGTCCAGATGTATGCAGCATGTCTGAACGTCGTTTCCATTGATAATGACGATAGGAGGAAAAATGAATTTAAAAGTGAGATGAAGATGTCATAAGCTTGAGAGGGAGAAAGTTTTTTTTTATGTTTTGTTAGGTTCATTTGTTGTCACATAAATTCTCATTAACGCTTTCGTTTTTTTATGAATTTTTTAATTATTTATCTTTATATTATTTAATTGCCGTGTTATTTTTAATTAATTTATACATTTCTATATTCTCGATGTTGACCATTTTCTAGATATTTCATACATTAATGATCTTTTTTCTTAGTTCTGTGAATAGCATTAGTTTGTAATAAAAAAAAATCATTAATTTATTTTGGTTAGTTTCGTTGAATTTTAATTTTTTTGAATATTCCAGCGAAAGTATTTCCATCAATTATAACTGAGTGATTTGTGTAAATATATGTACACAAAGGTCATGATCATATATACGCATGCATTTTATTACAGACAATTCTATATTACAATTTTATTACGCATTTGTTATTTGCATGTAAAATTTAAGTTTAAGCCATTGATTATTGTTTATAGTTATCAAAAAGCTTCAATAAAACTTCATGAATTTGCGTGTTAATCATGGAGTTTCTATTAAAAAAATCATTTTATGTCCGTGTAAATATTGTATATGTATTTCCTATATTTCGGTGCTGATGACCTGTTACTTTTTATCGTACGTCATTTTTCATCTTGAAATGTGAATTTATTCAATTCTGATTTGTGTATTTTATCTCAATCAAATGCTGTACTTGATTAAAATTTAAAAAAAAATACAATGAAATGATAAATAAATAAATAAATACTATACATTACATGTGGTTCAGTCTATTTTGCAATTCTATAATACTGCTATGATCTTATAACATGAAAAGATCGTCAGAGTTTTAAAAGTTTAGTTAGTAATAAATAGTGGTAATAGTATACTACCGTAAAATGTGTTCCTTCTAAGTATTTAATCAGTAGAAGCATGGTTTAGACTTTAAACTGAAAGCTAACACCACCATACTAATTTCTTAGCGAATGTTGTAATTAAGTACGATGAAGATGATGTTGATGACGATAATGATGATGGTGAAAAAATTATAAATGGAATTTTAAAAAATAATGTAACCACAATTGAGTATTATGGTGATGATGAAGATGACGCTGATGATAAAGAAGACATGACGATGGATGAGGACGATCTGATGATGGTGTATTAGATAGCAGGCCCAATACTAATCAACAAAAACAAGCAGATCTTCAACTGTAGCTTGTACATTCGACTTTGAAACAGTGAATCTTTTTTTATTGTTTTTCATTTTTTTAATTATTATTTGCTATGTTTTTTTTGTTCGGTATCTCAACCTACGTTCTTATTTTTATATACGATAATACTAAAACGAAAACTCAATGAATTTAGCTAGCTTAAATGGACCTGTAATGTAATTAACATTGCACGTTACTTTTGAAAACATCTCTGTAACTATACGTTCGTTCATTGCACCGATATTGTGTAGGGTAGGGATCTAGACAACCACTGATGGAGGGGAGCCAACAATTTGAAAATGTTTAAATTTCGAATTTGCGATAGTGTAGCTTGGTAGTTTGAATTAGACTGGCGAATTTTTGGTCGATTTGATTTCCAACATTAAATGGTGCTTTCCTGTAAAAAAAATAGAGTACTACACACACTAAACGGACACACAAATACACGCAACACCAACAACAACAACACCTGACGGTAATGTTTTTCAGATTTTGATGCATTTAAATGTTGTTATTATCTTCTGATGTGTTTGCATATCGGTTCAAAATTTATAACCCCCCCAAAAAAAACAGAAAAAAATTCCTTTCTTTGACTTTCGACTTTGTACCATCGTGTTATTTATTTTCATTGAAACGTTTGAATTTTTAATTTTAATAGCTGACAGTTAATTGCAGCGATAGTAATAGCGTTAATTGTGTCGGCTTTTTTCATAATATATACATGGCAGTAGCTTACGACTTGCTTACCTGTTCACTTAATTTTCTCATTACTTCTTCACAAATCGGTGCTTAAATTTTACGGCCTATAAAAAGATGATGACGACGATGACGATTGTGATGGTGATAACGACAACGACGATGAAATGATGATGCTAGTGACGATAATAAACGCAACGAGTAATTAATTTTTTGAACTCTTAAAAATCTTATATAGATGGGTTTTTTTATAGTCTGCGTACGTTTGAAGAAAAAAAATTAATTGCATATATACATAAAATCTAAATTTAAAAATTGGAACATAAAAATTTTTATTAATCTATAATTCAAGAACACCTGTGCTTTAAAGTTTTTTCTTACTGTTCTGATGGTTGACGATGCACTGGAATTTATCCTAGCAGTATTAATTAATTCTTTTTAAATCAATTTTAACTTGTTTTTTTTTAATTTTCTTGTTTAACATTGTAATTAAATTTATTAGAAAATTATTCAAAATTTGGAAAAATTTCCAAGTTAAAAATCGATAATTGAGGATATTATGCAAATGTAAAAAAAAATGTATGTATGTATGTATGTCGGTGGCCGGTCTAGTGAACTAGTTTTCAACGTGCGTGATATAAAATTTATTTTTAATGTAAGTATATAATATATGTATGCATGTGTGTGTATGTTTGTTTGTGTGTATGTTAGTTTGCTTGCTTGCTTGTATGTATGTATCTGTGTATGTGTGCATGCATATTCCCATGTTGATAAGCTGTATATGTTGCAATAATTGATTTTTTATAAGCATATTTTTTATCCTCCACACGATGTGTAACCTTCCTAAGGTATGCCTGCTTCAAACTGAATGTATTTAGACCATGAGGTTGTACATGTTTGTATGTTTCTATATATGTGTATATGTTTGTTTGTGTGTGTATACAAATGGGTGTGCTTGTCTGTATGTGTGTATATATGTGCTTTTGTCTGTATGGATGTATGCGTTTGTTTGCATGTGTGTATATGCTTGTTTGCACGTACATATTTTATCGCTGTGTCAAGGACTAATATATTCAGATATAAAAATAATGTGTTCCTTGGTTTGAAAACTAAGACTTCTTAGAAAATTGCGTTATTATAACCATTATGGAGTGCGAGCGAAAGGAAGACTCATGTAGTTTTTAAACGAATTTTTTCATGTTTTTTTCATGCGCGTGTGTTTTTTTATGAAACGTCTTCATTCAAGATGCATGCAGACGTTATGTAATAGTATTCCTTCGCTGTATGAATGTAGCACAAGTTTTTTTTTTTGTATTTTTACCAAATGATTTACAACATTCGCACGTGTGAGAACTTTACGTATAATGTGAAATAATTTCAGAGTAACTTAAAATGAGTGTTGCCTTGTGCGTAGCTAACAATTTTCTAGACTGTTTCTAGACTTAGTTTTTGCTAATTCTGTTTATTTTATTAAAGTTTAATTCAGTTTATCGATAGAAATGCTGGACTGCACTTTTTCTGACTCTTGATGACGTAATTGCTGATGTTGTTGATGACGTCATTGTTGATGTTGTTGATGACGTCATTATTGATGTTGTTGGTCAGGTCATTGTTGATGTTGTTGGTGATGTCGTCACAGTTCCGTTGATGTTGTCGTTAATGTTATCAATGTTGCTTTTAATGTTATTGATGTTATTAGTGTTGATGTTGCTGCTTGCTAGTACGGTGAAGGGAGGGTAACGCATTTTCTACGAGATGTCTGTTATTAATTTGCTCTTAGTGAATGGAGTAGGAAAGATGGATCTTTTTTCTAGTTCAGTGTTTTTAAAAATAAAAAAAAATTTTTTGCAGTATTTTTAATCTAAAAATTTAATTGGATTTTTTTTAAAGATTTAAAAATTACGTTGTAAAAATAATAAAAAATACTAGGAAAGTAATCTAAGTGGTAGAATATAAATAATAATAATAATAATAGCAGCAGGAGCAATAGTGATGGTATTAGTGGCAGTAATTACTATCACCGTTACTACTGGTAATGCTGTAGTAGTTGTAGTAAGTAGTAGTAGTAGCTGTAGCAGCAGCGGTGGTAGCAGAAGTATCAGCAGCACCGGCAACAGTAATAAAAATATGTAATAATACTAAATTATAAGTAATAATAATAATAATAATAATAATCATAATAATAATCATAATAATAATAATTATAATAAATGATGCGATCCAGCAGTTCTGTTTCGTTCCTTTTTTCTCTCTTTTTAAAGGTTGAAGACATGCAGACGATCTTCTTAATATTTCATACAAACGCCGATTATTTTATTTAATGAATACAAATAATAAATCATATTCTGAACTTCATCCTCTCTTTCTCTCTCTCTCCCTCTCTCTATCTTTCTCTCTCCCTCTCTCTATCTTTCTTTCTCTCTCCCTCTTTCTATCTTTCTCTCTTTCCCTCTCTCTATCTTTCTCCCCTCCCTCTCTCTATCCCTTTATCTTTCTTACACTTTTCTTGCATTTATTTTTAATTTTATTTATCCTTCTTTATCTTTAATGTTCTTCAGTTTTTTCAATCTTCTCTGTTTTTTTTGTTTTATTGCGTTACTCTATTCTCTTCTCTCTTTCTCTTCCTTTTATCTCTCTCTCTTTCTTTCTTTCTTTCTCTCTCTCTCTCACTCTCTCCATCTGTTTCTTTCTCTTTTTCTTTTAATTTTCCTCCTCTCAGTCGCTTATTTTTAATAAACGCATAAACACATACATGTATATCATAAAATATACATGTACATAAATGTGTGCCCATGTGTACGTGAGTGAACGACTGCCGTACGAACAATACAAACAAATGAAAGCTGGAGTTAGTAGGTCCACTTTCGTCTAGCAGTATCGATGAGTAAGCACTAGTTGCAATGAATATATACCAATCTATACGGCATATATACCGCATGTATACACTATATATGCATTTGATATACCGTATACCTAGTGTATATAAAGCATATATATATATATATAAATATATATATATATAATTTTTTTATTCGTGTATATATATATATATATATATATATATATATATGATCATATAGCACATATATTGATGTTTAGCTGAATGTCAAATGTACAATACAGTAGTTAATTATAGATTTCATTGTGTTTTTTTCTTTTCTCTCTCTCACTCTCTCTTTTTCTTTTCTCTTTCTCTCTCTTTCTCTCTCTTTCTCTCTCTCTAGATTTTTCTTTCTCTAGTTAGAATTTTGTATGTGTACGATGCGGATGTTCGCTTTTCACATAGAAAAATTTTCGGTTTTGGTGCTTGGTATTTTTTCCGTCAGCCCAGCAAACGAACTAGTGTACATTTTTATGGTGTCAATTACCTCAATTTATGCACATACACACACTCACACACACGTACACACGTATATACGTACCGTACATACACACCTACATACAAATATATATGTGCATACAGACACATACAATTCATCATTTATGCGTAGATATCTAAAATTTGTCGCATCTCAATAAAGTTCAATGTTTGATAGGGTGATATATGAGCCATTACATAGTTCAGTAATGAGTGAGTAATTTAAATAAATTTATTACACATTCCATATACTAATATAGGACTAAAATTTTGACAATTGCATGCACGGTACATACTATCTACACACACACACACACGCACACACACACACACACGCACACACACACACACACACACATATATATATAAATTTCTTATAATCTTATGTTTCTATAGAATGAATGATATCTACATTTAAATCTTTATAACCGCACAGAGATATGCATTCATTTTTACAATATTTTTAATATTTAGCACATAGTGAAATATGATATATACATTATACAACATGGTTGTTAACGTGTATTTATGAATATAATACATTTAATGGTATATATATAATTATTTATATATTTAATTTAATGGTTTTATATGTCGTATATGGCACATATTATGTATACAGTATATGGTACATTAATATATTTAATATAAGTTGCATTATTCATAAGGTTTTGTACCCTATATATATTCTAATGCATTAGTATTGTTCTTTTTTCTGAGCGATGTTAAATCGTTCGTAGTTTTTTTAGTTTGCGAACATCATGGCTACGTTTGAATGAATGCATCGCTAGCAGAAGTGTTTATTTTATATGTTTAAGTCTGTAATTTCTTGGATTTTTTAAAATTTAAATTCAGTTCTATTGCTAATCTACACTTATATTTTATTTTTATTTCATTTGTTAGTTTTATTTTAGTAACAACTAACTTTTGCTACTTTTACTCACTGAGTGAAATTGCAAAAAAATTAATAAAAAATAATGTCGGAAGAGGAGAATCAAGACATTCAACTAAAATCCATTTCGCCTAAGTACCGTGAGGGTGCAGGTGAGGCCAGCTCTGATCATCTACTGCTGAATTCACACCACGAAAGACATGATGATTCCAACAACAAATTATCTAGTGCTAGTACCATTGCCAACAACTCACCGACCACAAAAATTACCACAGTTACTGAGAATTCAAGCAGCAAGGCCACACCACTGGCTAGTATTAAGGAAGTTGAAGTTGAAGTGGATGGGTGCTATGGAATTTTAGTTGCCATTGCCTCCTTTCTTAGCTGCTATGTCGTTGGATTGGTGTTCATTGCCTTTTCAATACTTTATCCTGAACTGGTTATCTATTTTGAGGCCAAAAAAGGCACAATTGGTTGGATTGGATCTTTGTATTTGGCAACAGGAAATCTTTGTGGTTAGAATACATTTTTAATTTAGTTTTGTTTTGCTACTAAAGTGCTATTTAACAAAAAATATATCAACAGCAATTGTCAATTAATATAATTTTAATATTAATAGTTTTTTATTGTGCTATTAAAATTAATTAAACTAAGAATTCTTTTTAAAAAGTATTCAATAGTCTACTTAACCTTCAATCAGTTTTCATTTGTATTGGTTGAGACATTAGATTAGAATCATTACAATAAAAGGAAATATTGATTAATTCATTGTTAAAATATAGTACTATAATTTTTTTCAAAGTTTTATATTTATTACATAAATTTTAAATAAAATTTATGCTCTTTATATGACCATTGATTATTTTAATGCTTATTTCAGTGTTAAATTACTTTGAATAAGTGCTCACCTCTGTTGAATTTTTGATGATTGATGAAGCATTTAAGATAAAACAATGTAATTGCATTGTTTTGTTACAATTACTTAACTAATATATATATAATACCACAATAACTCTTTATTGTGATAAAATTAACCATTTTTCTATGGCAAAATGATTTATGAAAATTTTATTAAATCCACAATATTATACACATATTAATAATAGCAGCCTATTTTTTACTGGGTCCAAATTTTTTTTGTCACATTTTTATTTATTCTTATAATTTGATTTTCCCCCTAACCAAGGTATTATGTTGGGAGTTGGCATTCAGTATTTTGGGTGTCGGGTGGTTGCTATTGCTGGTGCATTCGTGTGGAGTCTTGGTTTTTTCCTCAGTTCATTTGCCAACAATGTGGTCACATTGTATTTTAGCTATGGAATTGTTGGAGGTTATTCTTTGAAATGTGTTTATAACTACAACCACTGGTTTTTATTATTGCTATTCATACTATAATGTACTTCACAAGTTAGGACATATCATTAAGATATTGATGTTGCTTATCAGTTTGTATAAAAATATTTGTTTTTCTCTTTTACTGCCTGAGTAAATTGAAGATTGAAGTTTAGCTAATTTGAAAATTATATGTTTATTTTATATGTTTCATTTTTTTTAAGTTTGTTCCATTGCTCATTAACTTAATTTGATTTGATTGTATTGCAGTTTGACGAATTCAATGATTAAAGTTTCAAATAAAAAAAAATTTCACCCGCCGACAACGACAACACTGCCAAACAGGAGTTGGGTTTAACATGGTGACGATATCAAGTTTTGTGATAGTGCAGAAACATTTTAAGAAGTACAGATCACTGGCAGCTGGCTTGGCGGCAGCTGGAATTTCGCTCGGAACCATCACATCTGGTCCACTTACCGGCTTCCTCATTGGCTACTATGGCTGGAGGGGGGCGCTGACCATTTTGTCAGGGCTCACTCTTAACTGCTGTGTCTTTGGATCATTTTATAGGTTTCTGATTTTAAGTTTTATGTTTATTATTGTAAGTAAATTTTGAATTTCTGTTTTCTGGACTGAAATATTTTGTTGGACCTTAGTTAAAATTAACAAAATCGAACTCACAGGTATCCCAGAGCTATCAAATCAAAAGTTATCACAATAGGAGAGGAACCAAATAACAAAATAAAAACCGTCAGCTTAAAAACATCTGCACCAACATCGCTAACAATAACAACGGAAAAAAATAACTCAACAACACCTAAACAACAACAACAACAACAACCTCAAAATAAACAGCTTAGTCTGATGACAAAAAAACTCTGCAAAGATCTTTCTGATCTTTCATTATTCAAGAACAAACAATTCACAGCTGCCTGCATAGCAACATTACTCTTCAACCTGGGAACCAGCATGTTCTACCAACACACACCTAGTCGTGCACTGACCTACGGAATTGCCAAACAACCAACTTACCTCATCCAGTCAGTTGTCGGTTTTGTAACGTTAACGGCTCGAATTGTTGGAGCTGTGGTCGGTAATTGTAAATGTACAGACAGGATATTACAGTACGGGCTGTCGATACTTCTCGGTGGCCTCTGTTTGGTCTTCACTTCACCTGCCACCACCTTTCTTAGCATCTGCGTCATTGCATCTTGCTGTGGGTTTGCTGCAGGTTTGCTCAATTTTTTTTAATGTGTTTTTAATGCATTTTGAGAAGTTTTTGTTTGTAAAATTAATTGTTCCTAAAAACGATTCTTTTTTATTATTTTCAAATTCAACACCATTTCCTTTATAGATTTACCTACCTTTTATAATTGTTAGAAGCTATTTAGTTTTGTTTTCTACAGTTGTCAAGAGAAAATTAAACTTGTTTAAGCATTGATTTGATGTGCTACTGCAATGTATATACACTGTACACAACACAATGTATATAGCATATACAATTACTTATACATGTACACTATGTAACGTAGCAATACACACAGATGTTTACCACATGGTTACGTATGCTGTTTAGTTAAATGGTGAATGATCTCTGACTTATTGAAAATTTCATTGGTGGGTTCATCCAAAGTGAAATCATCATGCACACCTCTTTGGAATATGAAGTTAAATAGACTGTTTTATACACTACCAAACCAGCCATTACACTCTAATTTATTTCATACTCTCAGGGAATTGTATTAAAAATTTTATTTTTAAAATTTAATTTATACTCGAAAAAAACACGATAAATAATTTAAAGAACAAAGAAACCATATATGCATTAGCCCGTACGTCAATAGGATATTTTTTAAGAATTTACATATAATTTTTACTTTCTATGTCATAAATAAGCTACAAAAATTCAATAGGTATGCACAAAAATATTTCAACAAAAGAAGCTGCTGGCATTCTATGAATGAAACTGCCTGACACACAAACTAATTTTGATGTAGTAAATTATTGAGTGAGTGAGTGAGTGAACGAATGAATGAATGAGTGAATGATTAGATGAATGAATGGGCAAATGAATGTATAATTGATTAATTGAATGATGGGATTATTTTGATGACTGACTGTCTGGCTGGATAAATGAATGAATGAAGGAACGAAGGAATGAATGGAGTGTATCAATTAATGAGTAGATCAATGACTGAATGAGTAGATGAATCAATCAATGAATAAGCTGATGGATAATACTGAGCTCTTTAAAGTTCTTCAAATTAAAGAGAGAATTAGAATTGTTCAATGAGTTTGTCATTCACATGTTAGAGTGAATAAACAATTGTAGCAATGTTTAGGGTTCTGAAATAGTACTTCAAATTTTTATTTCTAAAATTAATAATTGCCTATGATAAGTAAATATTGTAAGTGCATCATGCATCCATATAGGATATTTGTCATTTTATTGATTACAATCTATGACAGTTATAGCAAATTGATAACAGATTTTCTCTAAGATAACATAAACTCTAGATTTGTCATTTCCATCTTCAGTCTGTCTCTGCTTCTTCATCTTTCATTGTTAATCAAACTAATGACAAATCGGTTACACTAGGAGATTTGTCAAGACTTTATAATTATTATGCAACTACATGCTATTTTTATGTAATAGCATGTAATTGACATATTATATTTGTTATATAATTGCATATTATGTCTATTGTTGTATAATTATACATTATAATTTGTATCTAGTTACATTTTATGGTAGTCATTAATGTAATATTTTTTAATTAATATTAACATAATTTTATCTAATACATTTAATTGTATCATCTACTTATCAGCTAAAGTGATATTGTCATCATAATTTGTATGTCATTCAGTTAGTATTTGCTTTGTCAGACTGATCTTTGTCAATCTTAGTAATTTAAAGTGTCATCATCATAAGCAGAATAGTTGTACTGTAGTCTAGTTGATATCTAGAGAAAATCTCAACAGTTCTATACTTATCATATCACAACAAATATGATGCTCTTATTAATTAATATGTTCTCTTTGAGTCATTGTTCTATTGTACAATCCACTGGTTACCATTTAATTTGAGTTGGATTGTCTTTTATTGGTAGGAATTTTTATTTTCTACTACTACTACTATTACTACTACTACTACTGCTACCACCACCAAAGTTACTAATAAATTGAACAGTGCATCATTAGCAATTTAACACTACATCTTATCATCATGGATACCATACAGTAATAGGGTAAAAACTGTCCAACACCATGTTAAAATAAATTTAAAATGAGAAATGAAGCAACGATAGGATAACAATTATATCAATACAACAGAAATATATAGTAATTTAATATATATAATATGATTCAATGTTATAGTATAATATATATATATATAATATAATATAATAATATAGTATAATATACCCCTAATATTTTTCAACCCAGGTCTGACCATGACAATTCAGACGACGGTGATGACAGACATTGTTGGGGTGGCCCTCATACACAGGGCACAGGCATTCATACTGGTCTTCATGGGCTTAGGGGCTCTCATCAGTGTACCCCTTGCCGGTTCATTTCATTTGTCTCTAAATCTTGGTTGTTATTTATCACGTTATGTAGGTCAATATTGTCAATTCATAATAACTGAAACTGTCTCACATTGTCTGCAATTTATATTTGAAAGTTGTAAATTTTGCTTTATGAGTTGTTTATAATTGGATGTTGTGTTGCGATTTCATTTTTGTAAAAAATTTATGACCAAGGGTTCTTTTTCATCAATGTTTTCAGTTTTCAAAAGTTTTTTTTTATTGTTTGAAACTTTTTTATTAATTTTTCCCCAAAGGATCTATCTACGATTTAACAAAAGACTACAACATCCCATTCTTCCTGTTTGGTTCCTTCCAAATTTTCGGAGGCCTCATCATGGTTGTAGCCCACATAGTCATTAAAATTGCATCAAAGCGTATTTTGGAAGCTCCACCAAAAGTTTAATCCTTTCTGTTCAGCTTTCTTTTTTGTTTCTAAAAATTTTTGTTCGTTTAATTTAGTTTTATTGTTTTTTTTGTTGTCCTTTTTTTTCTAATAGAATTTTATGATTTTATTGTGTTTTTAAGGTTATTATTATCATTGTTGGGCTTTTTTTGTTATTGTTTTTTTTTTATTAATTGTTTTTATTTGATCTTTATTTGTTTTTTAAAAATCTGAAATCGTTTTATTAATTGATTATTCAATATTCTCTGTTGATGATTTCAGCTTAAGTATGCAGAGGCACCATGGCTATGTGTGTGTGCTCGTGTAACAGCTAAGTTTAATTATTTTTATTTATTTTTTCTAGGATGGATTTAGTTTGCCTAAAAAAATTTCTTTTTGGATATTTATTCATTTGGAAAGAATTTATTCATGTAAAATGGAAAGTTCTTTTCATGTGTCGGTGCGTTTAAACTGTGCATGTTCAGACATGAAATAATTGTACTGAACAAATTGTAAGGCAAAAAAAAATATACAAATTTCACTGATAAACATTTTAAAAATTGCCTGACTTAATTTCTATTTTAAGTGTATAAAATAAAAAAATAGATTGACAATTTTTTTTTTCAAAAAAAAATTTCAAACTCATTATATTACGACTATAATTTTATATGGCTTAAGATATAATTGCGATGTGTAATGATATAATTATGACATATAATGGTGTATATTTATATAATTATGATATATATATTTATATAATTATTGTATAATTATAATTAATACAGATACCATATAATTGTTTTCTATTATAAGACTACAAATGCTATTTGCAATACATTTATCATGATTGTATAGTTCTATCCTAATTAAAATGCCATGTTAGAGCAGCACATTTGAAGATATAGATATATCCAATTATATTTATATTTATTTATTTTAAGATTTTATTTTAATTAGTTTTATTTACTTTTTATTTTATTTTTTGTTAGTTTTCTATCATTAATCAAACTTTCAGTTTCCTCAAGATAAACTCTATAATTAAGCTTATATATTTTCTTGTTCTTCGTTGTTTACATATAATGTTATCATTTCATTGTTTTGTTATTGATTGTTATTGTTAGAATATATATATATATAGATAAGTTTTGTTACAGTTTTATGTGTGTATATATATATATATATATATATATATATATATATATATATATATATATATATATATATATATGAATATATTATGGTTGTTAGTTTATTTATTATCATGTTATATTTTTGTTGAGCATTACGTTACGTATTTATTTCTATTGTTGTTCTCATCTGGTTGTTATTGTGGTTCCATTTTTTTTAATCTTAAGTTTGGTGTTGAAAATCGAAATGGAATGATTTCTATTAGCCGTTGAGATTTTTATTACAACAGTTATACCCAGCTCAGCTTTATGTAACTTGATCCAAGTTTTTTAATTGTATTACACGTGTGTGTAGGTGTATCTGTGTGCGTGCGTGTGTGCGTTTTCATATATGTTGAATAATCTGTTTGTATATAATTATTTCAGTTTACCTTATATATTTGTAATACATTTGTTCCCATAAATACACGATACATGTTTATGTTTATTCATATTTATAATCACATACGTGCATTAGGCACAGAATAGTCATAAAGAAAGGCATATAATTTATATAAATATATATATATATATATATATATATAATGCAAGCTTATTTTACAATTAAAGATATTATTTGTTATATTATACTAATTCACTATGAATGTACATGTGTGTTTATGTTTTGTGTGTCTATTTGAGTGTGCTCAAATTGCCAAACTAAAAATTTTTTCATTTTTCTTTGTCTTACTATCCATCCGTCTTTATTCTTTCTTTCTTCCATTCATTCTTCTTTTCTTCCTTTGTTCCTTCTCTCTGTCTTGAAACATTTTATAATTGCAGAGTCGTTGGGTGCCACCTATATACTTTCTAAGAACAGTCAGATCTAATTTAAATGTGTATCATCTAAGTGGGTGAGTATATGCGTATGTGCGCTTGATTGCACGCGTGTATATGCAGATGCACGCACGCATGTATGTGTATGTGTGTGTTCATGTGTGCACGACTGCGTGTACTACTTTATGGAGATGTAATGATTCTATGTACTTTATGGAGATGTAGTAATTCAAACTGGGTTTGTTCCTTTACGTACACACGTTGAATGAGTTACATGTTGATAGTTTTTAAGCATCTATCTAGGATATAATAGCAGCTGCTTTCGTCACTTCACGTGCGTCTAGTTAAGAGTTGTTGAGAGGAGGTGCTATTTTGAGTTGTATGTATTTTTTAAATGGAAAGCCTTTTGCATGTTCAAAGAAAGATCTGATTTAAAAAGTTTGATTTTGTTTAGTTAGGATCGCAAAATGTTAATTTATGCTGCTTTTTTTCTATAGTTTCTCTAGAACTGTAAATAAATCAACTTAGCGGTCTTCATTCATATTACTGGCTCAGGCTAGACTGGACGAGACGTAGAATTCTTCCTCATTAAATAACATATTCGGTAGTTTCATAATCTCAAAAGCATCATCAACTTTCTTTACATTTACTTCAAAATCATTGGAAAATTATCATTCCCGTGGGAATTATTTGGAAACTAGTGGAAAATGGTGGATGTTTTTGCTGCTTCAAATCGCTAATCTGGGTATTGATTACCAAATCACGCATCACGTGTATTTCTTTATCATTTTTCCTCCTCCTCTTCATCATCATCTTCTTCATCATCTTTCGTTTCTCTCTCTCCTCTCTCTCTCCCTTCTTACATCTTCATAGTATAACTATCTTACTGCTAATTAGTTTCCTTACATTTGCAATTTTATTTCATTCAAGATATTTTTAATTAATTTTTTTTCTTTACAATTAGTTTACCTGACATTTAATAATTTTCGAGATTTTTTTTCTCGTTTAAAGATATATCTTCGTTATGGGCATAGTCATTGAGATTGAGTTTGTAGTACGCCAAAAATGGACCAACTATCTGACCTGTTTTTGGTAAGGGTAAATCGGAATCACTTGAGAAATTTTTTCGGATTTGGTTGGAAATAGTTTTTAAATATCAATTGGGCATTGCTCGTGAGAGAGCCTAAAACTACACTGATGATTAATGACTTATATTTCCTTACAGGCTTGTTCGCCGATGAAATCTTCTGTAAAATGTGTCTCTCTGATATCACAAATTACACGTTTGGTTTAGTTTTTGGCGAGCATTCAGTTAATGGTTTTATTTTGTGTTTGTAGAAAAGTTCTCTAGTGATGGCATAAGTATGTGTGTGTTTGCATGTATGTGTAATGTAATATATCTACGTTTGTGTTTGCATGGACTATTGCGTTTATTGTTGTTATTGGCTGTTATTATTGTTGTTATTTGTTGTTGTTTTTATTGTTATTGTTATTCTTAATGTTATCGTACGTTGTTTTATATGTATTCCCATTTAGTCCTTACATGTACAAACGAGCAGACGAACAAACAATCTATCGAGAGTTTATGCTATTCATTATGTTTCTTGTCGTTCAAGTTTCAACATTTTCGTCGTCGTAATTATTAAAAATAATTTTTTTCAATATAATTATTATATCTTCAAAATGTGATTCACGCCGATACGTGCTAGCTAACTGAAATGCAGCAGAATATTCAATTAATTAATTAATTAATTAATTGAATATACAACGTTAATTAGAATTAGTATTTTGCCAATTAACTTGCTAATTATAATTAGTTATATATTTGTACAATTATGTGTATATATGTGTATATATGCATATAAATATGAACTAATATAAATATAAATTTTCCTTTAAAGGTATTTGTGTTCATTCACTTGTAACATTGTTTCGTTATTATGTTAGAAATCGTTGACAATAACGTAATTAATTAATCAATTGGTTGACTGATTGATCGGTCGATTGATTGTTTGATTGATTGATCGGTCGATTGATCAATTGATTGTTTGATTAATTGATCGGTCGATTAATCAATTGATTGATTGATTGATTGATTGATTGATTGATTGATTAAATATTGACTGCAAGCATCTATAGACAAGTATTTGTGTAAATATAGGTAATATTACTATTTTCTTTACTACTAAACTTAACTACTAAACTTCATATTAACTTTTTCACGTTGTATGTATTACGATATATCATGTATATTATGATTTGTAGTGTATACAGTTATGTCTATGCTTGTGTTTGTGTGTTTGTTTGTTTGTGTGTGTGTGTGTGTGTGTGTGTGTACAAAGTGTGTATGTATAAACATTAACACTCAGACCATGCATATTTCATGTATACGTCATTACATTTTATGTGTAATGGTGTTTACCAGATCACTGTTTTCAGATATCCTTATCTCTATTAAATTTGTGTGTGTGTGTGTATGTGTGTGTGTGTGTGTGTGTTACAAAAAATTCTTCATTTATTTTTGTAATGTTTTTTTAGTCTAGGTGTTGAGCAAAAATTTGAAAAAAATTCTTCGATATAACCTAGATTGGAATGGAGTTTTTAGAAATATATTGGCGCCGACGTGATTTTATATCTATTGAATTGTTACGTGAGTAAGCACATAAATATGCGTGTATATATCTATAACACGTCATCTATTAAAAGATATGATAGAAGTAAAATTGAGTCGTAAAATTACGGTTCTTAAGGTCTGCGAATGTTTGTGCTTTATCATTTGATGATCATTATTTAATCATTTTTTTGTATTACCATATATTATTATTGAAATTTTGATTCGACCGAATGAAATTTTTTGATGATTTATGGTTTTTTAAATGCTCACCAAAGTTAGTGAAATGTTTGTGTTTTTGTATCAAAAAAAAGGTTGCCTAGAACATATTTATTCATCTATAATTACGAACGTACGTGTCTTTTGTATTCTGTATTTGAAAATGTTTTTCCGTCTGTTTTCTCGTCTGCTATAACAACATGTTGTTATATGTTTTCATAAAAATACATTACGTGTATGACTTATTTTTTATTCATTATTATTTATTTAATTTTTGAAAACTCGTAACTTAGTATATAACGTATATAGTTTGATAGTAACAATATTCATAATGTGTTAGTTCACTGCAGTTACATTGGAAAGTTGTGCCTACATATTTCAAAAACTGGATTCTTAAAATTTGAAATCTTTTTGAGGAAGTCAATGGAATGTGTGGATTTGACCTCTTCTTGACACTCCTAATAACAACTCGTGCTTAACAATCCTCTATAGTTCAGCTTCATTCAGTACTGTAAAATATAAGGTGTAGGTGCGCAGGTGAATATTAAAGGATAAAATAAATGAAAAAGTCTTAAAAAATATAAAAAAGATTCTTAATTTATTATTTTCATTTGGTTTAAATTGTTGGATTGAGGTTAAAATAGAAAAAACTTCTAATTGGGAATATAACATGTGCATTCGAATTCGACCTACTGTCTTTGTCCATTAATAAAATTAATCACTACAAAAAATTATTTGTCTATGCGCTGTGACGTTTCCGAAATATTTTTCTTTTGGGGTAACATTTACTGCGGGTCTATAAAGCTGAAACATCTTTAGCAGAGAAAAAGAAATTTTTATTCAACAGTTTTGGGAAACAAGTTATTTAAAACAAAAATTTGTGTTAGTATTTTTAGCTGCTTTATTTAACAAAGTTTTGTTTATTTTCGTGCTCGTCGGTTACTAACCTATTTGACGGATTCCATACCCTACCTACAATCTTGATGATTAGAGTTTCTTGCCTAACCATTATTAAGTGAAATTTATTTTAAAATTTTTTTTCAGCAAACTTTTGTATGAGTCAAAAAATAGAAAAGCCTTCACTAACAGGTCATCGCATCAAGACCCGGAAAAGGGGTAAGTTGAAGTGTGTGAAGTCATAAAAGATTTTATTTTGTTAGGAGTTACCATATTTTTTTAATTATCAAAGTGAAACTTGATACATTTGCTTTTAAAATGAACTTGAATTTATTACCTGACATTAAATCAAACTTAAAATTATTGAAAGATGAAAAAGAAAAGTATGACCCTTCAGCTTTTCGTGATGCCATTGTACAAGGCCTTAATGAAGCAAGCAGCGATATAGATCAGGTACTTTCTTAAAATTTACAGTTTTAGACCTATTTTAAATTTTTTAAAGTTTGAATATTTTAAAAGTGAAGATGATGTCTAATAACTCTACTGCATGATGTGGTCAAAAAGTTGAACCTAAAGTATAATTGCTGGTTGTAACTTCTAATGTATAAATTGTAAAATACAATTAAATGAGATAAATAACAAATTTAAAAAACAATTTATTTTTACTTGTTAGATTTCCAAGTTTCTTGATTCGACAGGCTCTAAATTAGATTATCGTCGTTATTCTGAATCTCTTCTTGACATATTATTCGCTGGAGGAATTCTAGGTTTTCAATTGTTCCATTTTCATTTTATTTTATATAATTATATCGTAGCTTTGTATGATTTTTCTTCATACTTCACATAAACTATTTGTTGGACTGTAGCGTAATATAAAATTTTGTATTAAATAACTATTAATTTTCATTTGAAATAAATTGTTTTTTCATGAAAAATCTAATTTCTTATCCATTCATTACAAATTGACAGCTCCTGGTGGGTCTATACTCCAGGATTCCACTGAAAAATCCAACAACATATACAACAGGTTGTTCAGTTGGGGGATTTTATTTTTGAATTTTGGGGAATTTTATTTATTTCATTTTTTTCTTTTCACATGCTTAAATATTTTTTTGCACATTATATTTTTCATCATTATTATAATGAATATGATTTTTTATTAATACAGATCAGTTTTCAAAGCTGATGGCTCCTTTGAAGTGTTAAAAACCCAATATGAGGTACATATCTAGCTGATATTCCATCATATGTATAAATATTGATTTTTAAATTTTTATGTGTGTTTACTCTTGCTTAATTTCTTAGGAAAATTATTTTAAAATGGCTCATCAATAGTCAGACTGATTATTATCTATGAGTAATTATAGACTAATAGTAAACCAAAGATTAATTTTTTTTTCAAAGCAATTAATTTGATTGCCTCAATTTTCTCTTCTTCTAATAATCTTATTCAGATATTGTACAAGCTGATCAGGCGCTACAAGTACCTTGAGAAGAGTTTTGATGATGAACTCAAGAAGGTGTGTGCATCTTTGCACTGTTTTCATACATTTTATGTGTACTGTGTATTTGAAGTTTATAAAGTATGGTAATTCTCGCAATCATGGAATGTTAGCTCATATGTTAAATTTAAATGTTTTATTATTGGTTAGAATTGTTGAAAAATGGTGTGTAGGCTTGCATATATGTCTTGGAAATTATCTTAATAAAATAAAGATACCAAGTGATATATTTTATGGTACTATAAAATGTATAGCTGATTTATTTACTGACATTCCTAAAAATTTTTATGAAGAAGGAAGATTAATGAGAAATCTTATAACAGGCTGGCTATAATTGAAAAATTTGTTTGTACCCTGGATATTTATATTGTTAATAGAATAGTATGAACTATTCATTTTAACCATGGGAAACTGGAGTGTTTGTTTAAGATAATTATTGAAGTTTTGTTGCATCCTATATGCTTGTTTATAAAGCCTTTTCTCTTACTGTGTCTGAGTGTATGCTCATTTATACATTCTTCTTATAAAAATTCAAACAAACTTGTGTAGACAAAGCCAATCTAGCTAGGTCAACAACCTACAAATTATCCAGAAATAATTGAAATAATTATTATTAATATTTGTCTAATAATTGTAGTCATTATTTGCATCTATATTGACTTTGACTCCTACCTTGGGGAAACTGGGTCTCTGGAGGCTAAAAAAAGATTGATTGATTACTATTTAACTATCTAACTTTTTTTAATTGAAGCTACTACTATGTGTATTAATTTTACTGTCACTAATTGATCACTGCTGTTAAGCTTTGGTTATAATTAACACATATTTAGCATTAGTTTTATTTGTTAATTTTTCATCAATCTTTTCTTATATCATTATATTCCAATTTCCACTTCTATTCCCAATTATTAAATTTTTTAATTATTTTAGAAAGTTTTTTATTTTCGAATGAAATAATTTTTTCTTTCACTGAACCCAAACAACAACCTCCAGCTGATCCTGTTCTTGAAGGGATTCAGCATCGAGGAGAGGGAGAAGTTGGCAAAAGTGATCGGCATATGTCTGTCCAATGGACTTGGAAGCCCGGCATCTCTATTACCACTGTTTGATGCTCATCTTGTTAAGGATGGTATGTCTTTGCCGTTCTCAACTCTTATTCCTATTTGGGTCTTACTATGTCAAACTATAATAATTGAAAACATTTTCAATTCAAATGATAAGTTTAAACGTTCAGTTGATAATGCTAATGACAGTAACAATGATACATGTGAACATTCAGTTATTAGAATTAAACAGTTAACCAGCCAACCAAACAATGAATAATGTTCTATCTGCCTATCTTTTTATCCATCCATTTATCTATCTATATAATCAACCATACAACCAGGTCTTTCACTGGAGTTTGCTCAGCACATGTTTCACGCATGGCTGCGGGAAAAAGACATTCAGAACGTTGGCAATGCACTAAAGAAGTCTGGCATTGAGAGCAGATTATTGGTGTGTATGTTTGTGACATGTCATGTTGTGTTTTGTTTTTCCTTTGTTCGTTTTGGTTGTATTATGGTGATGAGGAGTGTGCTGTTGAATGGATTAGATAGTTGGCCATAAAAATGATTAAATATATATTTATTCATTTGTAGATAAGTTAATGAATTGATGACTGATTGCTTGACATAGTGTTTTTCTAAGTGTTGTTATTTTTGATTGAAGGAAAAGTAGTATAATAATTTTTCTCTCCAATCTAGGAACTTCTTCCTATCAACAAACGTTCTCAGGAAAATTTTGAATCGGCCTTCAACACACCTGGATTGGAACCCATCATAGAGTTTCAGGTGGAGTTTCACTCTAAATTTTTCATCTTTATCTTTTAATTTTTTAATGTCTTATCTATCCTATCTTTTATTATTTTTTTGTAGTTTTTATTTATTTCATTTCTTAATTGTTCTGTTAAATAGCTGTTACATTTTTTTTCCTTTAGAGAGTGAAAGCGAGTGCAGAGATGAAGAAGGGAGTGCAATCTAAACTTGAAGAAATGCTCAAAAATGAAGAGCCAATCAAAGATGTCAGTTTTTCTTTAAACTTAAACGACAGTCATCTCTCTTGATTAGGGTGTTTAACTATTAGTAAAATAGTTTCTAATTTGGATTGTGCTTCATCTCATCAATTCATTTTAAACATTGAAACTTCATCTAACAGATGATTGCTCTAATCAAGGAGCACATGTCCAAGACAGGCATGCAGGATCATGAAACAATTGTCATGGTATGCTCAGTTAATGCTATATTTTTTAAATTTCTGTGATTTATTAATGTATCAGCTAGTTGTAAATAATCAAGCTATTCGTTATTTCAACTTTTTGTTGGATGAATAAAGCTATTAAAAATTAATTTAAATTGAATTATTTTTTTTTTAAATTGTGAATGTCAATCAATCTCGTGATGCTTTGTCACCAGGTCTGGAACACCCTGATGAATGCAGTTGAGTGGAACAAGAAGGATGATTTGGTTGGTGATCAGGCCATCAGACATCTCAAGCAGTACTCATCACTTCTTGCCAGTCTCACTGAAACTAACAAGTCCCAGCTGACCTTACTGCACAAGATCCAGGAGTACTGCTACGACAACATGAACTTCATCAAAGTTTTCAGTAAAATTGTCATCCTCTTTTATAAAGGTCGGTTCCCTGTGATAGTGTCCTATTTGAATGGATGTAAATACTTTTCTACTTTCTAGTTAAAAATTATTGTTTTTTAACTGCCGATATTGTGATGCGAATTTAATATTTGAGATTCATTAAATAATTACACTGTACAACTGAAAAAAACACACAGCTGACGTACTCGATGAAGATGCTATACTGAAATGGTACAACCATTCACACTCTGCTAAGGGCAAGACCATCTTTCTAGAACAGATGAAAAACTTCATTCATTGGCTTCAAAGTGCTGAAGAGGGTTAGTTCTATGATTTATTTTATTTCATGCCAGCCTGTTTATCTCATTATTTTATGATTCATGGTTGCTTGTGTTAATAAAATCAGTATTCAAGATGAAATTCTCGTATTTCTTTTGTTTACTGCTACTTAAATTTTGATCATTTCTTTGTGGTCTTCAGTGTCAATGTTAATAATTAAGTTTAACCTTTTGCATTTTTGTTAATACTTAGTTCAATTACAAAATTTAAATAATTATTTTTGATTGAAAACGTGCTCAGTTATATTGTTATTGAATATACAGATTTTTTCTTTTTACAGATTTATAAAATATTATTAAAGATCAAACTTAATTTTTTTCTATTATCTGAACAGAATCCGGAGAAGAAGAAGAAAATTAAGCAAAGACTATCAAGTGGTTATTATTCATCCCAAAATATATTAAGTGGACGCATGCTTGTGTGTGTGTGTGTTTGTTTGTGTGTGTGTGTGTCTGTCTGTCTGTTATCAAAATACATTAATATATTTGATTGACATTATTTACGTACATATAATATAATATGCATACAACCTTATAAGGCTTCAACATGCAACTAATGATGTTAAATAAATGAACTATCGGCATCTTGGCAAGTAAACACAGCAGTCCTCCTATTGTTATTTTTATATAAACGCGCCTACACTCCCATGCACTTTTTAATATTTAATACATGGAAAATTGTTAACCTAAATTGAATTATTTCACAACTATTCGCATAACATGTGAGAGCTTGTTATGTGTTTGTATATAAAATTGTTATAGTTTTAAACTACATTTTACAATGAACAATCGTTAATATAACTAATTATTTGTGTGCGTATCTGCATGTGCATACAAATAACCGGTGTGTACGTTTAATACATTAGTAACGTTTTTATACAGATATAGCGTTGTATTGATGATTCGTGCAAGTGTATATATATATATATCCAACCACCAACCTGTTAATCTTCAATTTGAGTTTGATTGTTTATCAATACTTTCTGGATTGGTTGTTGTTTATGCTGGTTGTATGCCTGTCCCCTGAATGCGTTCTTACATTTATTTTTATTAATTACTACTCTCAATCATATATTTCTACATGTCGTTAAACAACCAATATTAATATTACTATCAAATTTTTAAACCCTTATATTTATGCATTCTGAAATAAAGAAAATATTTTTTGGTTTGAATAGTTTTGGATCTTGAGAAAAAAAACTACTAACAGTTAAAAAGTTATTTAAAGTTGGCTCTGATGAAATAATAACTGAACGCTAATTATTTTTGTTTACCTAAGTTATCTAATTTACTAACTCAGGCAACAATGCAACTATAAGTGTATATGGTCCATAATTTTAATGACTTGCATCCCAAATTAACCATCCCGGCGAGTAACTAAAATCAAATTTTCATATTAAGAGGATTGTTTTAAACATAGCTTAAGTTTAAGGTGAAGACAAAAGTTGAATTTTCTAGTTTAATCGTTCTGATGAATTTATCTACAGAGCCCATCTAAACACAAATGATACATTTATATTTCTCTATATTATGTCACAATATAACTACTAGTGAAAATGAGTAATACAGCAAATTTAAGTACATTCAAAAACTTTTTATAAAATTTTATTTTTCACTACATGACCTTATTGATAACAACCTCGAAACATAACCAATCATCAAAACACGATACAATTATTCATTACTACTATAGGTGCATAACAAAAACAGTTGTCATCAAAATGCCATCAGCATAATGTTCAGTAATCTTAATATTTTCGTCATAACGCTACAATGCTTCAACTGCATAAATGTCTTTAGAAAGCAAAAAGAATGAGGAAAGCCATCATAAGACAGAAAAGACCCATAGCTTCTGAGAGGGCAAATCCTAAAATGGCATACGAGAAGAGCTGTTGCTTTAACGATGGGTTCCTGGCATATCCAATGACCAAACTACCAAAAACACTTCCGATACCAGCACCTAGAAATTTGATAAGTTACTGATGACATAGATTGTTAATAGTAATTGAATTTGACAGTAAACGATAGCAAGCATTTTGAAAAAGGTTTTTACAAGAAAAATCCATAAGACCACGGATCTTGAATAAACCAAAAAATGCAGTTATCTAAGTTAACCAAATAAAGAAGATACTATATTCTCAAATATAATACAAATGCCAAATAATTCACAGCTTTAGAAAAGTTAAAAAATATCAATCATTAGCTGGAAGAGATCTAACCTGATCCAGCTACTCCAACGGTGGCAGCACCAGCTCCAATGTATTTGGCTGCCTGGTCAATGTCCCTACGAACTGCTGTAGTGTGCATGAGTCTTGACAAAGTCATCATAGCAGGAACTTGGCATTGCAGAGATTGGTGAGATGATGTTTGGGATGTGTTCAAGGTCTATGGATAATGTTAAAGAAAAATTATCTAAAAATGAAGCAAAATATACTTTAACACTGTTAAGTTCACTACATATTTCAACTGTCAAAATCATTATATTGATTATATTACATTGCATAATTATGGTGTAAATAAAAATTTTAATACTCAGGATACCATTACCTCATAACCTTGAACAGCTCTCATTGATGATAAACTACCCAAAAGTCTGCTTTGTCCATTGGCAATGGCCTGCATGTATAAGAAAATGATTAGTTATAAAAAGATTAATATTGACTCCTAGCTTGAGAAAGTGCTATAAAAATGTCAATGGCTATCAGAAAATAGATTTATTTCACAGTTTACATCATTTTCGGGAAAAATATTCTTCATTTAGCCATAGGTTGACATTTTATTCATGACAATTTAGTAGGCCTAATACCTGATCTTCTTATTATCGCCCGCGTCAAAATGACATTACAAACGAAAAACTCGTCAAATTCAACAAAAGTATAATTTTTGTAACATTTAAAACATTGACCCCGATTCTGACGGAAGGAACGAACAGTTTTGCACAGTACATCGTGAATTTTGGGTCGACCTTGACGAGTTAACCGGGTGTCTGTAAATTAAAGAATTAGCATATGAAAAAAAATTAAATACAAGTTCAAAATATGCCAAAGTATAAAATAAGTGTTTCCTAACCAAAAAAAACTTAAAATTGAAAGAAAAAACGTTTAATAAAGAACAAAATTAATTTGAGGAAGAGGTGCTCACCCAGCAGCAAATTTCACGATATACCAAAGAGACTAAATAGCTCAGCAACCTTCAGCAAATATACATTAAAGGATAAAGATCTGACTAAACGTATAGCCTGTCTTATAGTTACAAATTCGGCGTTAATTTAGCATTCGCAAAATAAATTTTAGCCACGTTTTACTTCAAAAAAATTTAAAGAAACCTGACCCCTAAAATGTAAGGACATCTGTAGATGTATTTATTGTGTACTTACGACTGTACCTAATGCAACGGATGGCGCCTGGTTTTATTTCCAGATAAAATTTGACAGTTGACTCTATACGAGCAATTTAGCATTTGTATCTACACGGAACCCTTCAAACGTACGACTCGCCACCTTAACCATTTCCCAGTTTAATTTCTTCCGGCTTTAAAACCAATATAAACTAAACGTATTTCAAATTTTGAGACAATTTAAACAAAACTCGCTTGATTTATTATAAAATATAATATAGCCAGTTCGAAAAAATTTCAAAATTAAATTTAATTGACGATCTCTGGATTGATGGATATTTTGAGCATTGAGTGGCCTCTGGCAATGCTTACCGTTAATTTCTCACCCCCTGATTCAATGGCTCTATAAACATCATCAGATGTCAGAATGGATTTCCCATTGATTTCAGTTATTATATCACCAGATTTCATACCTCCTCTGATTCGATAATTAAAAAAAATGAATATTTTTAGTTATCAAAAAATAATATAAATTAAAATTGAATATATACATAAATATCCGAGCATAACATAATTTATATTACAGTATAACCACATAGTAAAGTTTTGGAAATGACAGAAAAACAACAGCTAAACAAACTGGTGTGCACAGAAACTAGAACTGAAAAGTTATGCAAAACTTAAAAAAAAAACAACACAGAGCATACATTTCAGCAGGAGAACCAATGACCACCTTATAAACCAGCACCCCATGATCAATATGCATCAAATCTCGGTGCTGAACCTTGTACGTCATCAATAGATCGGGTGTTAGTGTAACCATTGTTATCCCAATGTATCGCTTGCTGGCTGATGATGACGAGTCACTTCTACCAAACCAACCCCTTGATTTTGCTGGAAGGAAAATTATAAATACGTGAAAATATAATTATCACTAAGCTGTATTGCATAATATACAAATTTGAATTAACCAGGAATAATATTTTATAAACTAAATAGAATAATACATTGAATAACACTTTAAATAACACATGCGTATTGAAAAACAGCAAAACTTTTATATGCGTAATGCTAAACTACTTGTACAGAACCAGCCATTAATTTGAATCTGGAAACAATCAAATAGGTTAAAATGGCAGTAAACCTCAATAAAAATGAACAAACCGATTATGAAGCCAGGATTAAATTACCTGAAAATGCACTTGATAACGAGCTTATTACAGGGATAATAAATTGCATATAAAGACAATTGTTCAAACAGTTGTTCATAAAATAATACTGATTTGTTATAAAAAAAAACCAAACAAACGACATTTATATAAAATATAAATTAATGATTTCTAGGAGGCCTAGTAACTAAAGTTCGGCAGGTATCATTAGCGTCATTACTCTCGGCAATAGAATTAACGTCATCTGCATTATCAACGTCATTATTGTCTATCTGAGATATATCTTTGTTTCTCTTACATCTTTCTTCGAGTTGGGCCGCCTTGTTCAAGAATTCGTTGGCATAGTCAGAAGGAATGGCAAATGAGATCCCCGTGGTTACCATCATAGTGTTTATTCCTATGGCTTCGCCTTCCTGGGCAAGAAAAATTTTTTATTGAAATGTCTTGTAGAGATCATAATTGATTGAGAAAGAGTTTTTGTACCTTTTACATAATTAAATAAATGCTGTAGAGAAATTTAATAAAAAAAGTTTGGGGCGAAAACTATGGCTTTGAAATGACAAAATGTTAAAAAAGTAACAAAATCTCACTAAATTCACTAGAGGACCTCCAGAATTTCCAAACTATTTCAAAAAAATTAAAATTTATTTACAATTAATCAATTAATTAAGGCAAAAACATTTAAAAACCAAATTAATTTATTGAAACAAATCTTAGAAACAGACATTAATGTTGGCATCAGTTTGAATGTAGCTGATATCTTTGTTATACAAGCCCAAGTCATGGCTCTTCCTATTGGCAGAGCTGATAATACCAGCTGTTACTGTGTTACTCAGCTGCAGAGGACTGCCCATGGCAACAACCCACTCCCCCGGTCTCAAATTTCCTGATTTACCTAATTTTATTGTTGGCAAATTTTCCTGTAAAATTTTTGAATTTTAGATTGAATGAATGACAAAACAAAGAATTGAAATATTAATAATTAAATAATAAAACTTAGGAAACATTATTAAAATGAACAAACTACAACTAAAATAGAAATAAGTGATATTTAAACAATTTAAAAAGAAAAATAAAATTCAACTGGAAAATTGAATTGAAACATACAAATCATGTGAATAAATGAATCTAAATTAAATTAAATATGATGTCTTACTCCTGAGATTTTAATAGTGGCAAGATCTGAAACAGAGTCAACAGCTTGCACCAGTCCAATCTTCTGGGTGCCGTCATTTAGTCTGACCTTCACCTTGGAACTGTTGCCGACAACATGAGCATTTGTGATTATGAGGCCGTCACTTCTTACAATGAATCCTGAACCATTGGAAACAGCTATTGTTTTGCCTGTGAATGGGTGTCTGTCAATCAAATCATGTTGCACTTATAATGAATTGAAAAAAAAATTGTATATTTATAATTTATATAATATAATCTTTAGGTTGACCAAATTTAATCAACAACTAATATCTGTAAATTGTAATAGATGAACAATTTTTAAAATACTCAATTAAACATGCCCTATATAAGTGTTAAAAGTTTGATTTCATAACAAAAAATAGCCTAAGCAAGATCAAAAGAAAGCTATTTTCGAATCTTTAAAAAAAGATGTAACTCTAACTTTCCAGATATTTCTATGTACACAACAGCTGGAGCAGCTTTCTCAACAACGTCAGCTATAAAATTAAAATGTTTTGCGTTCTTCCCTGAAGAGGAGTTGTGGTGATTAGAGACATCAACCTTCTCAATGGCTTGAACATTTGATAACCAACGACTCCTCCGAATTGCTTCACAGAGAATTAATGCCGAACCGGCCGTCAACAGATGGTACGGTTTTAATTTCGACCAGAAGGGCTCTTTAATATTTAGTGAGGTTTTTCTGTGTAGATATCTGGGTTGCATAACGAGAATAGTTTTTAGTTCGGAGGCTGAACATGGGGAACTAGAACTCAACGTGACTAATTTGCTTTGAGAAAAAAATTTATCTAGCAATTTGAATGGCTTTAAATTCAAAATTCGACAAAACATTTTGTATTAAAACTGTTATGACATTATTCCAAGAAATATTTAGTTATAAAATGAGGTAAAACGCAAACAAAATGAAATGATATTGGAAATCAAAAAGCGAGATGTTTAAAAGTAGACATCTGTTATGAAAATAAACATTTATTCAAATATTACAAGACGTCATTATAGAGAAGATAAATAATATGCATATGCCAGTTGAAAATTAAATGAATGCTACATTCCAAACAAAAATTTGAGATAGTCAATCATTAAAGTAACATGTTATATATGATGGTATTTAATTAAGCACAATCATATACTTAGAATAGCACAATCAGTTTGCTGTGAAACTGTTCACCATCAGTTTGCTGTGAAACTGTTTGAAAGTTATCTTTCGAGAATGAATTCATCAAAGTAGCTGATAATTTTAATTGAAAATGAAATCAGATTATGGTAGATTGCAAATACAACGCATATAACACATTTGAAAAGTCAGGTCATGGCCAACTTTAAAAGCTTGTTCGGATGTACGCTCGGGATGCTCAAAAGATATTTCAACTTGAACGTATATTAACGTTCATATTCTGTACATGTATATTTCTATAAATATATACATTTTATTAATATATATATATATATATATATATATATATATATGTTTATTTATATACTTATATATATAATAAGTGTACACATTGTGCATTGCATAACACGTATTAAATAATGCGTAAACTCGTAATGTTATGTACAGTACATGTTATACGAACTTGTACATGATGAATGCTATTACATTGAAGTAATTATGTTCGCGATGTATAATGTATATAACACTGCTACTTATTGTTTTACATCTGCATATGTAGGTTTTCTACTTGATATATTATACAGTAACATATGTTAGTAGAAGTACATTTTCATGTAAATATATATATGCTTACCAACGTTATGTGAATATGTGCGTTATAATAAATAATTACTTTGCATATGATCACCAGCATTCTGCATTGGAAATATATGGTTTGAATAATTGTATATGGGTTGAAATACGTTTTGTAATGGGTTCAACTAGAGTAGATGGATGTTGATAAATTATTATAATGTGCACTTTTCTGGTTGATTGATTAAAAGTTCAGCTGTTAACAAATTTATTCGAAAGATAATTTTTAACCGATATTTCCAGCCAGCGTTTGGATTTTTAATATTTGACTTCAATTTTAGATGCAAAATGACTGAGTCTAACAATTTGGAATAAAAGCAGATTTGACAGTTTGTTATTATTTTGCATCTTTTTCGCAAAACGTTATACTTATTGACTTAATTTTCAAATTTTAAACATTTTAATTCGGATTTTTACTTTCTGCTGTTTCAAAATCCAAAACTGTAACAATGTCTTCCATTCAACACACGACAGAATTTTCAAAAATTTCAAGTTCGGTTTTAGTTTCTGGAACGTTTGAAGCTTGCCTCTAAACTAAAAGTTGGTTTCTTTTCAACGTCACCAATTTAAAGATTTAAAAGTCGTTTCAACTAATTCGCATCTATCATTTTTAATAAAAAATTTATAATATTGCAATATTGCAAAATTTCAATTCAGAATTCAATATTTTCCTTATGTTATCTTATTCCTTATTAACAAATTCGATTCAATCTTAGTAGCTGGCCTTTGAGATTCTTTTCCAGCATCAGCATGCAATATTCCGACTGTTACCAGCCACATCATCTACAGCAACAACAGCAACAACATAGGATTCGATCCATGTCATGGTGTGATGGAGGAGAGATCAGTAGCAACAATGGCGGCCATCACCACATCATGGCAGACGACATGCAGCTTCACATTGCTCAAGAAGAAGTCACCATGTCTACAACAACTTCAAATCTAGGTCTGTCTGACTCCATAGAATTGCCAAGTTGCAGTTCTGAAGTTATAAATTTGAAGAAACCTTCTGCTCGTAAAAATGCCTGGGGCTGCTTGTCTTATGCAGACCTTATTGCTAAGGTTAAGTTAAAATGCTTCAAACTCTTGAAATAAATTTTGAAATTTAAAACTAAGACAGTCAGAGAGCTCAATTTTTTATTTTAAATAAATTGAAATGGTCTAATGTTCAGATGCTAACATCTGACAAACTTGCATTGTTCCATCTTAGTCTCAAATAATTAGATGCTAATAATAACTGAGTTCTTAAGCTATCAGATAAATAATAATCAAATGATAAATTTAACATTTTTAGGCTATAGAAAGTTCTCCTAACCAACGTTTGACATTGAATCAAATATATTCATGGATGGTTGAAAATGTACCTTACTTCAAAGCCAAGGGGCAGACCAACAGTTCGGCTGGCTGGAAGGTTGTAAGGATGATGATGGAGATGAGGATAATGATGACAATGATGTTAATTATGTTTGAGGTGATGATGAATGTGATGAGGGTAAGGATATTGTATTAGCTTGATGATCTGTCTACAATAATGTGTGATGCAGAATGTTTATGATGACAAATTGTTGGAATGGTAATGTAAAATCGCGGCAATTTCCTAGCACTTTAACTACCTGTTTGTCTGTCTATTCTCTATTATAATAATGATGAAATGATAACAATACTAATGATGATAATAATGGTTAGAAACATTTTAATGCTTGTTATCATGATGAATAAAATGGTAACTGTGAACAACTTATTCATGAAGATTCTGCAATTTTTTGAAAGTTTTGTCAATTTCAATAACATTGCTGTTTGATCTTAACTTTTGGGAATGGTGTAAATAAAAATACCGGAGAAAAAGGCTATTTATATTTCTCTAATTCACCCAAACCTAGAATTCAATTCGACACAACCTGTCCTTACACGGCCGATTTGTTCGAGTTCAGAATGAAGGAGCAGGAAAAAGTTCATGGTGGATGGTAAACAAAAACAACAGACTACAAAAAACTCCAAGAAGAAGATCGGCCACCATAGACTCAAAAACTATGGAAAGAAAAAAGAAAATGCCAGCATCACTTTCAATAAACTCAGATAGCCTCCCATTGGATGGAGTTTCATTGATTGGGGGTAACAATAGTAGTAGTTCGCCATTATTCAGGCCTCAATACAGCCAGCAGCAGCAACAACAACAACAACAGTTACATTATCAGCTACAACATCAGCAACAATTTCAGCAGCAACTACAACAACAACAGCATCAACAACAGCAGCAGCATATTCAATTACAAAAGCCTTTAGATAGCTTTGAAACTGCCTTCAGATCATTAGACAAGCATCATTATAACAGCGGCAGCAACAACTATATTAGCAACAGTAACATTAGCTACAATCCTAACAGCTTCAACAATAACATCAACAACAGTAGCATTGTTAGCTGTTCTTCCAACAATAACAACAACATTAATGTGATTATGGTGACCAACAACACTAACAACATCAATGCTATGACGTTCGTTAACATAACTAATATGAACTATCCTAACAACTATTCATTCAACAACAATGGCAACAACAACAACAATTTAAACAATAATAATACTAATTTTTACAACAATTTAAATTCCTTTGGTGCTCCCAGCGGTGTTAATAACATTAATAGCAGTAATAATAACAGTAACAGTAATAATGGTGGCAAAAATCTTTTTTGTCCAATGACATCTGGTGTTCAACAACAGCAACAACAACAGATATATCCCAACAACAACATCCACAACAATTTAGCGAAACCAATGATGCCGGTACTTAGTCCCGTAGCAAAACCAGCTCATGAAGCAATCACTGTCGGCAACAACAACAACAGTATAAATGGCAACAGCATCACTGACACTCAACACTACAGCAACAATAGCAGCAGCAACAACAGTAACTACACAGATCTTTTTAGACTGCCAGAAGAGGCATGGCGCAACTACCTACCACCGTCACCAGATGGATTGACTGAAACCGTAATCTCCACGGAGAGCCTAACTGCCTTGTTAGAATCGGGCGCTGATTCCGAAATTGTAGACTTAGTTCCGCCTAGTTTGAGCTCATTGAATGGGGACTTGAATGAAGATGTTGTAGCTGCTGCAGCTACTCATCACCATAACCCTCTACCTCTTCCTCATCATCTTCCAATCGATAAAATAAATAAAAATGTATGTGGAAGTGTTCAGGTGAAGGTTGAGGAGGAATGCAATGGTGGTGGTCTAGGTTCAGCTGCTGGTGGTGTCTGTCTGCCATCTGATCATAACATCCAGGTCTGTCTGTCTGTCTGACTGTCTGACTGGCTGTCTGTTTGTGTGTGTAGGTGTGTGTGTGTGTGTGTGATCCGTTATCAGCTGCACTGCAAATTAAATATAACAATATTTTCAATTGCGAAAAAAAGAAAATTTATGAATGTTTTTTAATGTAGAACTTTTGAGTAAAAGTGAGAATTTTAATTAAACCGCTGACTGTGCTGCTGAAATTTGTTTGGTTGGTTATCCTATGATTCCGAGATTAATTGCTCCTTTATAGTTGAGTAAATCAAATGAATTTCTTCTCAGAGTAAATTACAAGAATTTTTTTCATCATTTTATCTTTTGATCTTTTTATTAACCTAAAGTAACTTTTTTGATAATGAATTTTCTCTTTTTTGCTAAAGTAACTTTTTTGATAATGAATTTTCTCTTTTTTGCTTCCACGTTAAGTTGTAATAATGTGTGTATGTGTCAAATGGTTTTTAATGCAATGTTTTGTAATGTAATGTAATTTAATGTAGTGTAAATGTATTGTAATGTGATAATAATTAATTGCATGCAGTCTGCAACAGTGATGGACAACTTGTGCAACTTGACAACTATAAAGCAAGATATACCCAACAACAACAGCGCGTACAACATTACTGCTAGCAACAACAACAACGACATAAACGTTAACTGCAACGCTAGCAACAGTAGTAACAACAACAACAACATAGGCATCATCAGCAGCAACAACAAAAGCAGTAGCAGCAGCAGAAGTATGTTGTTGTATAATATCCTACAGAGCAAGGACAACAGTAACTGCAACAACAGTATTAAATCAGAAGTCGATGACAACAATAACTACTGCCCTAAAATTGTTGAGTTATTGTCATCTACAAGTTCCAGCAGCAACAACAACAACACTAATAACATTACTAACTACAACAACGACATCAAACACGACAACAACATCAGCAAGATGGATGACCAAATTGTTTATCATGCAGACGGCTGTAACAGTAGTGGTATGTTTAATTTTGAAAAAGACATCAACGCCGATAATAACGTTGAGATTTATTCTGGATTCTTAGACAATAACAACTACAATAATAACATTAATAATAATAATAATAACGATGATAATAATAATAATAATGACAATAATAATAATAATATTGGTGAAAGCTGTTTAATTAGTGAACTCATAACAGAAAAAAATAACCCCGATGTTTCTGCTACTACTGATATAAATAATAACAACAATAATAATAATAATGATAATAATAATAATAATAACAACAATGATTATAATAATAACACTGCTACTACTACTGCAACTACTAACACTGCAACAACTGCCAGTACTTTCAGTAGTAGCAACAAAATTATTAAGAGGTGTAACGTGGTGCTAACCAGTAGATGCGATCTAGAATGCGGCTTCAATGTTCCTGATAAGAAAAAATACAACAACAACAATAACAACAACAATAACAACAACATCAATAATAATAGTGACAACAACAGTAATAATAATAATAAGAACGTTAATAGTAGCCTAAATAATAGCATTAATAATAATAATAGTAAGGACATTATTGAAATGGAGAGTTCAAAAAATATCAACAACCTAAACCCTAATTCTAAAAATAGTAACAGCAACATTAACAAGAGCCTCAATACGACTAAAAATAGCAGCAGCGACAACAACGACGACGACAATGGCGGCGAGAATGGGGATAGTGATGTCAAGAAAGAAGTGACTTCAAGTTGCGACGATGTGGTATCATCGTCGACACCATGGGATGATGTCGTCATGTCGACATGCTCCCACTGATGTGACTGATGCGATGATAAGTGAAGAAGTGAAGATGATGACGGAGAGAGAGAGAGAGAGAGAGAGAGAGAGAGAACACGATGAAGACGAGGACGATTTTTTTTATGAGTGAGTGATAGCGATGAAATGTTGGTGAATCATTCTTTGCTAATGTGATTATGGCGTAATTATGACGTTCTTTAATGATGATGATGATGACGAGTAGTATGACCGCAGTGAAGCTGACGTTTCGAATTGTAAAAATATTTTCGTGTATATTTTATTTATACTCTTTTCAGTTTCATATATATGCATAGAAACTAACTGACTGACAGAAAAGAATGGCCCTTGCGCTCCTTATAAACAGTGACTTGTTATACTACAAATTTTGATTAGCATTCTAGTGGTAGGACAGATTTAGGTTCTTTTAACATTACAAAGACACACACACACACGCAAAAACTTAGAGCTAAAAAATGTATATATACACATACAATTTAATGTTTTTTTTGTCAAAACTGAACATATTAATTAAATCAGTATAAAGGTTATAGAGATATGAGAAAATATTTGAGAGGTATATATTTGCACGTTTTTTTTTGAAGGTTTTCTTTTTACTAATTAATAATTTTTTTCATTCGTTTGTTCGTTTGTTTGTCACATATTTTTCTTTCCAAATAAAGACTAATATATATATATATATATATATATATATATACATACATATAAATGTTTGTGTGCGTGTGTGTGTGTTTGTTTGTTTGTTTGTATGTATGTATGTATATGTAGCAAATATACATATGTACGTGTATATATGATTGTAAAATCAAATTGTTATTTATAAACTGCATAGGATTACAAATTTCTGTGTCCCTTGTTCTTTATTTTGTGGCGGTTTTTTTTCACAATATTTATACCATGCGTCACGTGCTTGTACCGTATCGTAATGTTTCTT